GAGAGAGAGAGAGAGAGAGAGAGAGAGAGAGAGAGAGAGAGAGAGAGAGAGAGAGAGAGAGAGAGAGGTTTGTAGGTTTTTGTATGTGGAGTTTTGACAAAGAGGGCCCTAGTTTCAGAAGTTGAGTTTTAGCTATTGCAAAGAAAAACAATGCAACTATTAGTTATAGAAATGTGGATTTGGTTCCAATATTATTTTATACAATTGAGCTGTCAAATGTTTGAGTTGGTTTGGCCAAGCACTCGGAGACACTGGATGTAACAGCCATTTATCCACTACTTTTATTTTACTTCAGCCAACTATCTCAGACTGCATTTGTGGATCTACTTCATTCATACTTTATTTTATTATCTAATCCACATTCTCACCTCGTCCCTTTCCTGGACTGGGACCTGGAATCAATAACTACCTGTTTAGGAATAGCGCATGTTTGCTTTTACCAATTTGGACATTTCAGATTGTTCACTCTTGCCCTGAGACGTCAGTAGCTTCACGACAGCAGCTGTTCAACAATCGTGCTCTGGCAACCAGGTGCATCTTCACCGTCCGTATGACTATTCATCTGCCTTGTCGCCGCTGTTTAGTGAGCTGGCAGCCCGGTCGGTCGGTTGGGTGTGTATGTTTGTTAATGCCAAGGTATTTGCTGGCAGCTGTGACTGCAGCTTGTCCCTCCAGCCCGGAGGAAATGAATGTTCCTGCCATGTGTCCTTCAATTTGTTTCAGATGTTTTACAAAAGTCTGAGGAATTCGTGTTATTCATCTTTTTTATAATTACTACTTTGCAGCTTCACATATGGCAGATATCTGCTGATCACATTGTCTGACCTACTGAATGTAATTACACCTTTAGTACAACAGAGGGCGCTGTTGCTCACTTATCCTGAAACAACACGGACAACCTTTCGAAAAGTGATGATCTTCAATTTCAGTGATTTTAAAACCTCAAAGACCATTTCTGTGAATTTTTTTGCTTCTCATCCGCAGTTATGTTATATATGTTAATATATTAATGCGTTTGCTCAAGCTGCAAGCTTCAGTAAAATAATGCATTAGAAACATTGTTTTTATTGAAAATCCTCTGTCTTGAATACACCTACATAGATATTAAGCCGTCCTTCTGGCCTCTTCCGCTGGTACTGGGGAGGACTTTCTAAATGTACCCCCCAGTGTTTCGTGTGGAAACAACTCCTCACTCGTTTCCTCTGGTGTCCTATAATTAGTGTTTGTTGCCCTTGATTGCAGACAAAATATGTTGTGTAGTCAGGCTGACACCGACCTGCACTTTTAAAGGAATACTTCACCCACAAAATGAGCCTTCGTGTATCAGTTACTCCCCCCCGTGTTACCTTGAATTCTTGAAGAAAACAGGAAAACTATATCAAAACATCCGGTTACGGACCGTCACACTGCTCAGTGCAGTAGAATCCAATCATCGATCACTGCTTCACAAACGTATGCATCTTCGATAGAACCTAACTATTTAAAACAACTTCGGACAAGCCTGCAAAAGCTTGAGACTGTTTATGAGGAAGTGTTTTTAATAGTAAGTTAGCGAAGACGCGTGTGATTGGGAAGTAGTGACTGTAGAGAGGCGAGGAGACGTGACAAGATTTCAAGGTGACTAATTGATACATAAATGGTTATTTTGTTAGTGAGGTATTCCTTTAAGTTTCAGGCCAAGCATCAGAGGCTCTGTCTCAATAACACATCCTGGCACCAACAATTAATCCTCCAACAAAAGTCATCCGCATTCCCTCACACAAGATACCGCTGCATAAAGATTTACTTTTTCAGACAACAAGACATTCACAAACAAGTGTGCGGTTACACGGCACCTGTCGAGTGTCATACGTGATTACAGATCCAGAATCCTTCGTGTATTTCTCTCTTCTGAGCTCTCAAACCTGCTTTATAAACGTATTCTTTACTTTGTCGTCATACTGGCCCTCGCTGGTCTTGGCCAGACTGTTATGGGCATTGTGAGCTGAATACAGCTGAGGAAATACCCAAGGTTGGAAAGGCATTGTTCCACACACGGCTGAGAAAGTAGTTTTCTTTGCGTTAGAGGCAGAGAAAGGAAATGAGATGTGTCTGGACTCATTGATTAGTGAGGAATACGGGAGGCTTCACGATAACAGAGTAAACAAGAGCCGTCTTTGCCATCTGTGAGTATGTTTTATTTTATAAAACTAGTTGCATTATTGCAGGTTTAGTAATACATTTTCAATAAAATACTGTAAGTTGTTGAGATTATATATATATATATATATATATATATATATATGCAGAGAAGAACTGTACAAATGTGCCATTGTTGGGATTGACGTGTGAGAACTGCCTCCTTACTGGACATTTAATGTGCCAAAAAAACAAACATTTGCAGATTCAATTATCTAAAAGTTCCAGATGTCATTTCCTGCATTAGAGGAAGTGGGTGGATTGCACTTCCGGAAGTGGGCGTGTCCTCGTGTCTCAACCTTTTTTTACTCGCTGAGTAAACATGAAAGCATGTCCGAAGAGAGCTACGCTTACAAACTCATACAACCTTCCAGTTCTTTCCCCAGCTGACTTATTGAGTAACACCTGTGACTCGTACAGTGAAAAGACTCGGGGGTTAAGTTGTGGGGGGGGGGGGGGTTGGGTCAGACAGGCGGCGTGCTGTAGCGGATCTCCGCGTTGAACTTGTCCGGCGTCTTGGGCAGCGGAGGCTTCTTCAGCATGTTGTGCTTCATGATGGCCTCCTCGTTGGCGTAGATCGGGGCGTCTGTGTCGTCGGAGTGGTACCCCGACTGGTATCCGCTCGTCTGATTGGACGACTCCGAGGCCAGAGACTCTTTGCTCTTAAAGCGCAGCAGCTGACTGGAGGGGGGGGGCAGGAACGGGGAGGTTACATTCAAACTTGGTTTGCAGCTAAAACACAGTAACAATCTGTATGTTATGATGTGAGCCCTCACCTGAAGTTGGGTGTCGTTGGCAGCTGTGGATTCAAACCCTTCACCTCCTCCGGTGAGAAGCACAAACCACTGTCTGTGTGACCCTCCTGTAGAAACGGCAGCCGTGGAAATGAACACGGGCGGGTGGTGCAAACAGAGAGTTCACCCTTCATTTTGTAAAGTAGGGCAAGTCCACGCCAAGGATAAATAAAATAAAGTGCGTTTTCTTGCAATAACAGAAAAATTAGCTTGGTAAGTGTTTTTAAAATAAGATTCATTTCGAGGCCTTTTTAACTGATTTTGAGCAATATTTCACCAATGAGATTAGATTTTGGATTGTTGCAGAAATAAATCAATAGAATAAATCAAATAAGGCTCATTTGCTCAGGAGTAAGTAGATCAAAGCTGTGATGTTTGTTGTTGTGTGTTGGACGTGCAGACGCTCACCATGACACTGCTGCGAGCCACAGGGACGTCCTCAAACGTCTTCACACTGAGGGGACGACCGCACCGCTCGCTCTGTTGGGACAGTCTGCACAGAGGAAGTAGGTGATTGGATAACATTCACAGCAGAGTATATTCTCAAAGCCGTAAGTGCAGGGTACAAAATATTCGCGCAACGACAATTTCAACAGATTTCCACCTGCAGAGATATTTGTTTGACCAATGAAATTGGTCTTTGCACTCAAGTTCTGAGTCAAGTTCCATGTCCTAAATTTCGAGTTTCAAGTCCCAAAAAAGTGAAAAATGTTTTGCATACTGACATTAGTTTTCTTGTTCACCTCCACATCATTTTTCTACACAAACACAATAATCTTTGGTGTCATTTTTTTCCAACTGCTTCTGGTAATGTAACGTTTTCATGGTTAAGCAGCTTGATTAGACTCATTCAGTGGATCTGGAGAATTAAGAGCAGAGAGTGAGATCATCATGCTGACCCTAAGGACGGCGGGTTGTCGTAGTGGAGTTGAGCCTCCAGGATTTCCCCACTCTGCGGCCTGCTGTAGGGGTTCCTGGGGTCGGGGGTCACTGGAGATCCTTCTGCCGCGCTGCCGACTGTCAGAGGGATGTAGTCCTTCCCGTCCTGGATGACCAAGAAAACTAATGATTTCACCTCAAATACACGCTGGATCAAATTAATCCACACAAATGAGTAGAAATATGAACTCATTTAAAAATGATCAATTCAGTGTTTTCCAGTAATTACTTGTCCTGATGCTGTAATCAGCTTTCTCCTGTCGCAACTAGCTTGCGTCAGCCTGTATTTTCTTTTCTTGTCCGACTTCAGCTAACTTTCAATTAAATTTCCCAGAATGAGTTCCGGTATACTGGGAACACTGACAGCCATAACTACAGCACAGTAAAAGACATGGACGGTGCCTTTTAATCATAAATTGCATGATGGACTATTGAGGCTGTACAGAAACCGGCACATCTGAATCCTTTTTATTCTTGCTGTCTGACAACTGACAATATTTCCTAGAATATAAATGTTTTATAGACACGGTGTACAGACCCGTTGGGCGCTGGCCTGCAGCAGGTTGCCCAGATGTCCCACCAGCTCTGCGAATGTTGGCCTGTCTGTGGGACGATCCAGCCAGCAGTCCAACATGGTCTGGTATCTGGAAGTAAATGGGATCACGGTTAAGACGTTGGAGCGAGTTAAGTTTTTTCTGTGTGTGACCTGCATCGTGTCGACCTTCCGCTCACATCTCGGTGGTGGCGTATTCCGGAGGTCTCATCCTGGTGCCCTCCTTAAGCCTCCTGCAGAATAACTCGTCGATGCAAACACCCGGATAGGGAGAAGCCCCTGCAGGAGATAAGATGGAGGTAATACTGCAGGTGTGCAGTGATCATTATGTGTCAAGTGTTGTGTGTAATGGTGATTATGAGGCTCACCCAGAGAAAAGATCTCCCAGAGAAGAACTCCAAAGGACCAAACGTCACTTTGTGTGGTGTACACCCGATCGAAGATGGTCTCTGGAGCCATCCACTTCAGAGGGAGTCGAGCCTGTAGCAAGAAGAGGATGTAAGCTTCGTTACTTCACATATTTTGACTGTTTGATGAGCCCCCTTTTGACTGCAGGAACTTCCCCAGAAACTAGGAACTTTTTGAGGAACTTTGCGTTTGGATCGCAGTGACCAGAATCTAAATCAAGTTTTTCGATGTTTACTGAGGTAATAAATCAAGAGAGAAGTAGAGTCATCATCTCATAGACTTCTACACAACCAGAGGAGTCGCCCCCTGGTGGACACTAGAGAGAATGCAGGTTTCAAGACACTTCAGCATTAGCTTCACTTTTCAGACCCAGAGGTTGCCGCATTGTTGTTCCAATTGTTTCATGGCGTTTATGTTCTAAAGCACAAATAACCATCACCAACAGATGATTTGCTGTGGAGATGGACGGTTAGTTTAATTTTCCTCAGCTGATGTCGTTGCAATGAGACAAAACCAAGTTTTTTGTTTTATTTTTAAAGATGAAACGTGTGGGCACAATGAACTGCAGCCTGCAGAGGGTTTACCCTGTGACCATCAGCAGCCATCCTCCCAGTGGAATAATTTGCCTGATCTTCGCAGGTCTGTAAACCATGATGGAAACACAGCCAACAATGGGCCAAAGGAACCTTTTTAGTTCGTTGAAAAGTAGTCCCGGGACTAAAATGACCAGAAACCTCACGCGTTGTGTGGGGGACTCACATCTCCCTTGCGGACATAGTCGGGGTCTTTGTAGACATCTCTAGCAAGGCCAAAGTCGCAGATCTTCACCACGTTGTTCTCTGACAGGAGGATGTTTCTGGCTGCTAGATCTCTGTGGATGCACTGCAGAGCAAACAGAAACAAAAGGGATTCACATTCACACGCAAAGAGAGATTATCATCTCCAATTTTGGATGTCTGCATGCGTACACACAGACGTCTAGATAATATTTAGTTTCACCTTGCGGGACGACAGAAACTCCATGCCTTTAGCCACCTGGAAGCTGTAGCAGATCAGGTCCTCCATGGTCAGATGGTCCTCGTCTGAGCTCTCTGTGGTCACATGATGCATTTTAAATCATAACTATGAGCCCTGAACAACATTACAGGTGTCCACAACAACTAATGTGGGAGTTAGTCATTCTGCGTTGTCTTCCCCACCTTCCTGCGTGTCCACGTTGCTGCCTGAAGCCCGGTCTCCAGCTCTGGAGCAGACGGCCATTCCCGTGCAGATGTCCAGCTGGGCGATCTTCCCCAAGCCCAGATCCCCTTCGGCCACATCCTCGTCTGCAGACGCCCACTTCTGGCTGTCCACCCGCCTCCTCTGTTGACCACGAGGGAAAACACAGAAAGAAAGAGTCAGAATGATATTTTATTCAAGCTGCAGGTTCTCTTTGTACGGATCTCACTGCATGTTAAGATTGATTTATTCTTGCCGCAACCGCGGGGGGGGGGTCGCGATTGTCCGGGGGGCAACGATGACCTTTACGAGATTGAGGCGTTGCGTTTTTTTGAGCCAGGCGCTGCAGTTGCTCTCAACCGACTACATGACCCAATGCATGATGGGAAATGCCTGGCTGTCACCTGATTGGCTCTTAGTTTTGCAGATACATTTTCACACATATACATATATCAAATTAGAAACGATTCAAACGGGGTCTGTAAACTACAACTAGCCTACATATTGGATCTACTAGGATGTAACTATTTCTGTGACTTCCTGTGTATTCTCTAAAGGCTGCTTTTAACTGTCCGCCCACCTTGCTGCTGCCGCATGAGCTCGTCTACTTTCCAGGTGAGGAGCAGCTCATCTCATACCAGCGTAGTTTCTAACGATGGGACGCAGATGGGCGGAGAAAATGGAGATTGACAATGAGCTGCTGGAGGCAGAGTCAGAGAGGGTTACATTTACCTTGTAGGGGCTGTACTCGCCACGCTTGCTCTTCAGGTAGCTGGAGAGGTTTCCGTTTTTACAGTACTCAACAATCACCATCAGTGGCCCTGTGGAGTGAGGGGAAGAGGTCAAAGTAAGACGGCTCTTTACATCATGCTGTATTGAAGAAGACTTGAAACTAGAGATTGAGACCATAAACTCATGTTTACAATGTTTACTGAGGTAATAAATCAAGAGAGAAGTAGAGTCATGTTCGCATAGACTTCTATACAACCAGAGGAGTCGCCCCCTGGTGGACATTAGGGAGAATGCAGCCTGGTCATGAAGAATAGAGGACGAAGATGAGGACAGCCATCTGCTCGCTCACCTCCAGGCTTCGTACAGGCTCCCAGCAGGTTGACGACGTTGAGATGATGTCCAATATGAATGAGAATTTTCAGCTCGGACATCAAGGCGCGGTACTCGCTCGACGTGGCTCCCTCTGTAACACGGACAGATTTAATTTATAATTTTTTTATTTATTGTCTTTGTGTTCGTGTGGAGAGACAAAGGAGGAGGAAACACTCGCCTTTAAGCATCTTGACTGCAACAGTGGTGTGCGTGGTGGCTTTCTCGATGCCGAAGGCGGCCGCTTCGACCACCTGACCAAATGCTCCTCGTCCCAGCGGGTCACCTTTAAATGCAGGACATTCATCATGACACAAATAACAGCGCCAGATGCAGTAACCCTTCTTTGACATCACCCGTCATATGATGTGTTGATTAGAATTTGTTTTACACTGGAATTCATCTAAAACGATCAACCATATAAAAGTGGATGATTTGTAGTTTTGCTAGCGTTGGTCCACCACTTTAGTCCAGACTGAAATGTCTCAACTATTGGATGGATTGCTATAACGTTTGGTTCAGACATTCATCACCTCAGGAAGACTTTTTATATTTTTGGTGATGCTCTGACTTTCCTGACAGACACATCTCCATCCTGTGTTCACACCAAACGTGAAGCAAATTTCAATCAATGTGATCTTTTTAAAACTCGTCTAACTCTCTAAGCGGGGACTTGCAGGAGCTTAGTGTCCTGTTCAAGGCGATGCAGATGCTTGCTTGACTCCTTTACTCGCTATGCCACCTTGCAGCCTTCAGTAGTCTCACCTAGCTTCAGCCTGTCCCGAGGGAACTCCCATTTGTTAGCATCGTACGTGAGCCTCTCGCACTGCTCGTCCATGGGCATGTCCTCTGCGTCCAGGATCATGGACAGGTAGCCCGTCTTCAGATCCCCCCGAGTTGGCTGAAACCGTGTGAGAAAAAACATCTGAATTAATGATCAAAAACTAAATTGTACAGCATGTTTCCAGTGACTCCATTGCCCCTCCCGTTACAAAAGGATCCCAATCAGTGCTGCTGGTCTACGTGACTTAACGGAGCAGAAAGTGGACCCTGTTGTTCCTGGAAACAAAGGAGAGCTGCCACTGAGAGCCAAACCAGTCACTTCGAATCAGTCTCACACCCACACACTGTGTGCATTTTAGCTGTACTTCTTTTTTTAAATTTTCATTCAGAATCATCCTTCCTTGGGTTGTGTTGGGTATGTAGTGTGGCAAAGGGAGGATGAGGAAGTTCTTACTCTCTTTCTTCCACGGATGACAAAGACGATCAGTAACCAGAAAAACATGGCGATGACCACTGACCCGATGGGAACAATCAGCTCCACATTGGTCTTTTCCTCTGCACCTAGAATGGACCCAACAATTTGAGATGCAGGCGTGCTCACAAACAACAAATCCCTCAGTGAACAGAAACGTGGGACAGTCACGGTGGAATGTCGATTATTTCAGTGGCGTGCCTCGTGGAGCTGCATAAAGTTCAGACAGTCTTGTCTTTGGCATGTTCACGTGTGTGTGTGTGTGTGTGTGTGTGTATGTCTGTCTGGGCTGGAGGAAGGAGACTGTTGGAATCTGGACTGTAAGCAAACTGATATTTTATCTAGTCATAACAAATGTTCAGGAGTCAGCAAGAACAATTACTGCCAAAGACAACTTGGAAAAGCCCTTTTGGAGCCGTCGTGAGTAACATGCTGTAATGAACCGACGTCTCTCCGCTGCAGTTCAGCGTAGAGACTTACGAAGATGATTAGGGGGAAAGACTGGGTCAGAAAAGGGGAGGGAATGGTGTTGTTTCTTCTTCTTCTTGTTTGGAGGGTAGTCTGAACAGTTTATATTCAAACCTTTTTCGCATCACAGATTAATTGTTCCCTTGTGAAATCTATTTTAAACATGTTTTAAAAAAGCAAATAGTTCCATTACGAAGATAGCTTTAATTTTAAAGAAACGTGTAATAAACATGGCCGGTCATGTGACTCAGGCACAGTGTAATTGATACGATATGTCATATATGACATTCAGCCACCGTCCTCACCCCAAAAACTGCTCGCTCTTGCTTGTTGCTCTGTAAAACTCCCTCACATGCACGCAAGATGTTCTCGTTATCCGCCCGTCCTCTGCCCTCCCTTGTTTGCAGGGATGACGCCTGCAGCCGAGAGCAACTCTAACTGGGTCTACGTTCTGCTGGCGGGGTCCGAGTCACGTAGGCCCTGGTTCTAGTCATTTGTTTGTGTGTCGCTGTAGACCGTAGAGCAGAGGCTGGAGCTGGGCTGGCCTCTCCCTTTGTCCTGCTCCCTCATTGTTTTGGATTTAGAAACACCGAGGAGGATGTGTGCTAACTGGGCCAACTTCCTGTCATGCGGAAGCAAAGTTATTCTTACTCTAAATCTTTGATATCAAAAAATGTCAGATGTTTGATATGAATTGTTGAAGCCTTAAGGTCAGATATAAATACACAGTCTTTGTGAGTATTTACAAGAGGTTAAGGCTGGAGTATCCTACATGAACTATGAGCAATATATGGATGGATTACTGAACTGGCCTACTGGGCACAGGTCCAGGTGCTCAGAGGGGTCCGGGGACCAAAAACATATTTTGGTCCCCGGATTTCGAGACAGAACGAAGACCCCAAAAAAGTATTAAATGAGCATGAAATAAGTATAAAGAGAATCAAAAAGAGCATAAAGACACGAAAAACAACCACAAAACGACAACTACTTTTGGGGCTCTTGCTCCCATGTAGAAGGGGTCGGGGGCCTTTGACATGTCTGTGCCCAGGGGCCGATATTTATCGTCAGTAAACAGGAAGTACTTCATCATTGTACTGTAATACTTCAGGTATGATTCAGGGGAGGGACTGACCTTCGGTTGTCAAATAGGCCTGTGAGGTGTCACAGCCGCGGCTGTTACAGGCAGTGCAGGTGTACAGACCGCTGTCGTCCTTCTTCACTCGCTGAATGGTCAGAATGTGGTTGTGCTGACTCAGGATCACCCCTGAAAGCAATCCGTGCTGTTTAATTAAATGAACTGTGGCAACGCGTGAAGTGAGTGAGCGTTCATTAGATAAGCCATGCGACCGCCTCACCTGAGCCCTCCACCACAGTGTGGTTGTTTTTGGTCCACACCACCGTCGGGTTCGGCGTCCCGCCAGCATCGCACAGGAGACTGATCGTTGCACTCACGTTAACTTTTTGGTCGGTTAAATTATTATGGATCCTTGCAGCCTCAAGACCTAAAATCAGAATCAAAGTAAATTAATTTAAAAAAAAAAAAACTCCAAATGTCATTTTTTGTTGACTATTTTGAAGATGAAAGAAAAGGTTTAAATTGGGATTTCAATGAAATAATCGTGCACAAAGATATTCCCTCAATCAGATGCCCCACTCTTAATACTTCATCGTCGTCATCTTGGCTTTTTCCCCACCAATGATCGTAAATTACCATATTTGGGCTGAGGAGGAGTGACGTAGAGACGCCATATACGTAGAGACCTGTCAATCACTGTGTAGCCTCGCCCTAAAGCATCCCCTGCTTTATGGTCTGTTTGACTCTAAATGGACCATAATGTACTAAATGAACATCATGCTGTATTGAAGAAGACTTGAAACTAGAGATTGAGACCATAAACTCATGTTTACAATGTTTACTGAGGTAATAAATCAAGAGAGAAGTAGAGTCATTTTCTCATAGACTTCTATACAACCAGAGGAGTCGCCCCCTGATGGTCACTGGAGAGAATGCAGCTTTAACACATGAAGCATCGGCTTCACTCGGCAGAACCTGAGGTTGCCGCCTGCTTGAAATGATGGTTTTCCATTGTGGATGATCAACTTGTAGGTCCTGAATGTCTCAGTGTTCTCAAACATTAAAAAAAAAAAAAAAGGGAATTGTACATTTTTCTCACCTTTGAGAGAAAGACGGCGCACCAGGCAGGTTTTCTCTCGAGTCTGAATGTTTTCCACCCGACAGGCGTACAGACCCTCATCCCGAGGGGACACGTTGGGCAGCGACAGCTCCAGGGTCACGTTGGTGCCCTGCAGGCTGGACAGCGTTACACGAGACGGGGGACTCCGCTGCAGTTCAAGGGAGCGACGGGAAATATTTTACTCAAGTAAAAAGGGCAATATAATCATGTAAAGTATTCCGTTACAAGTAGAAGTCCTGGATTCAAAACCTTACTAAGTTAAAGTGCAAAAGTATTAAGATACACTTAAATTACCAGAAGTTAAATTGATCATTATACAGAGTAATACATTACTGATGCATGAGGTGTTCATCACTGTAATGTTGCAGCCGGTAGAGGTGGAGTTCATTTTAATGACTTGTTGTGTAGTTTAATCTATAATTAAAGCTGCTAGCAGCGATGAACGGACCCTCACACCTTCCCTTGTGTTGGAGGTACTCGTGGGACGGGCGGCGTGGCTATGAAAGGGGTGGGGCTGGGGTGTTGGGGCGGGGCTATGAGTCTTAATTGTCATTTAAATGTATTATCATGGCTGTGAAATTTGGAGAAGATTTGACTAAGGACTCTTAAGTTGCAACAACTTCGGACTAAACACGGCCCTTTTTGCCGCCTCGTCACATTCAATTAAAAATGGCCAACCTTCGGTTTGGTTATAACTCCAAACTACTGTAAAGTACAAGTACCTCAAAATTGTTCTTAACTACAGTTACATTCCACCACGGGCGACACGGCTGCACCGACTTGATCTGCTCCGACTCCGATATGTTGGTGACACCGAACCAGGTCATGTTTCCGTACAGCAGCTTGTCGGCCTTACAGCGCAGAACCACGTGGTCCTCTTCTAACGGCCCGCCGGGGGGCGACACGCTCACCTCCAGGCCGCCTGCAGAGCACAGATGGACACGCGGGCGTGAACGACGGCAGCGTGGTGAATACTGAAGCGTGGTCACAGTTACAGGAAAGAAGCCACATGAGACCAAAAGAAAGACCAGTGCTCACGTGTGACGTGGAAAAAGATGATGCGTGAATCCTCCCCGACTTTGTTGGCAGCCGTGCATCTGTAGAGGGTGTGGGCCTCGGCTTTCTGAACCTTCAAAGAGCTCGCGATTTTCTGGGAAAATGCATTTAATTTGTTAGTTGCAGTGTGCAACTGCAACACTGTTGACCCGAGGATTGTCTGTGGAGTTCTGAAGCTGCCGTTGTAGTAAATAAAAAAAATAAATAAACTTAATCATCAAATAGATGTGCAGGTTAATTTAAAAATATGTTAGACTAAGATATGTTTATTTGATCAAAAAAGCAAATGAATAAAAAGCAGAAATAAATGTAAACATTATAAATATTTAAATAAAAATATATTAATACAAAAATAATAATTCTTTTTTATTTCTGGGCATATTTATTTATTCCAAATTTAACAATTGAGGCTGTTATTTTTTTATTTATTGAGAAATGTATTTATTTGTTAATTTATTTATTATGTCAGCTTCAGTCCTCCATAGCAGACAGCAGGGAGATGGGGGTGTAATCCAGGGGAATTATTTACCTTTTGGTTATGCCCAGCGTCAGTTATGATCCGTTCGACTGGGTGGTGACCGGTGCTGTTGCTGATATGCCTCCAACCTGTGCACGCCGCTAGCTGCACTTCAGACTTTATCAGCCGTGACCTTTTGGACAAAAACAAACAGAAACCAGGTGACACGTCTTTAAACAATGTCCTCACAGAAGCTGCACTAATCACCCACGTCAGTGTCGGTGCAGAGTTGTTTCTCTTTCACTCTGATGCACCAAACGCATATTAACATTTACAAATGGAGAAAGTCTCACTATGTACTTGTATGTTTCTTTCCTGTTATTGCTGAGTTATGCAACTTATTTTTAGTCGAGGCAGAGACAAACTGTCGATCAAAATTAAGAAGAACAAGGAAGTTCAGTTTATTTTATAATTCAGAACATAACGAGGGAAAGAAAAGTCTGCAAGAAGAGACGCGGCTTCAGCAGGAAGAAGAGCTTTCTTTTGTCTTTTTTTTTTAACAGGGAGCACGATGGGAACAACAGGAAACGTAGCGCAGGACTGAGGAAGTGCTCCGATGTGTAGACAGGAGATAAGGAAACCTGCTGATTGTCTTCTCTGGACAGAGCCGGCCACTCACACACTCCTCCTTTCTGTCAACACGCGGCAGATCACGGCATACCTGAGGAGGCTGTCGGGTGACCGCTGACGCCTCCTGTGTTTATTGCATGGACCAGAAACAGCCCCAAATATCAGATTGTATAAAATCAGTAAACACATTCTCAAGTCTGAGAATAACTGACGTCCTTGGTAAAAAAAAAAAAGGGACATTGTGAAGAACATGAATCACATCCGCTGATCTGCATCGGGTCAGAGGGGCGCTCTCTTTGTCTCTTCTCGTGTTATTGTCAACATCACGAAAGCAGCTATTCCTCTTCTAAATCAACGACCTGTTGACAATGAGTTGAGTTGAGCTGAGAAGCACGTGAGCGCTGCATGCACGCTCGAAAAGGACTCACTGGAAGGCCTTTGGACAGTCGTCTTTAGACATCCACTGCCACTGGATGTGTGCAGGTGTGGGGAATCCACGAGCGGTGCACCTCAGGGTGGGGCTGCTGCCGTACGGGTACACATCAGTGTCCACCGCCACCTCCTTCTCAATGATGTGAGGAGGCACTGTAGAAGGAGATACGGACAGTTAGCACCACTGTCCCGCCAACAACGGTGTAAAAAATACTGTAAAAAACAAACAGGGAAAACATGCCGTTGACCAGCAGCTGGAAAGAGCGCCTCTGTTCCTCTTTGGTGATCTTATTGGTCAGGACCATTGTGTAATTCCCAGCATCCATTTCTGTGACTCCGCAGATGACGAGGGCGTCGCTTCTCTGTTTTATTCTGTAATCCTCCTTCAGTGGAAGGCCGTTCTTTAACCTGGGCAGACAGAGCAGCGTACAAAGCGTGACATGAAGTATCTGAATCTACATCAATGTGACAAAGATCACAATGGAAAGTTACATTTTTTTAACTAACTGTATGACAAAGTGCTGCTAGTACTTCATGCCACGACGTATTGTTCCCCTGTGAACGTACCATCTAGAGTTGGGGTCTGGGTAGGCCGAGTATTTGACGGGGATGGATGTTTGATCCCCGACATTTACCTCCCAAACCTTCGTCCACGGCTCTTTCATATCAATGAAAGGCTTTTCTGGAAACATAAAAAAAAATAGTCACAACACGTCGTTAGCAACACCAATGTTTAATATTTCAATATTCAAATCTTTAGAAAGAACCATAGTAATTATCCCATCAATCTTATGAGCATTGAGAAGATGGGAAAAGTTGTGTGGTTAAAGAAAAAAGGGAATAAATAAATATGTGTATTATTAGAGCCATTGTATGAAGAAAAAAATTAATGAAATAAAATATTCTGAGAGAAAAGACGTGGTGTTCCTTTAATCTCAGAGAATTTTCTAAATTATCACTTTATATTCTCAGAGGTTATTTCAAGTTTTTTTCTTGTATATTTACTACTTTAATCTTTTAAAATATCAAAGTAAATGATCTCAAATTCATTGTTTTTTCTCTGAATATTTCCCGCTCTTCTGGCTCCGTAAGTATTATTTTTTTTACCTACAATGGCCCTCATACGCCGTAGTAGATAAATGATTAATGCCAAAACCAAACAAAGTGTAAAAAAGGAGTTGGAAAAACAAAATAAAATGGTGAAAGATAAATTGAAGAATAAAACAAAACGCATTCAAATGTTTTGGGGTTCCATAAGACACATCCAGCAGAAAAAATAAAAATAAAACACACTTTTTGGAAAAGAATAGGAGAGAAATATTGAAAAATAAAACCGTTCCACCTGAGTGGGAGGTCTCTGTATTCAGGACACCTACCATACACTTTAAGAAATGCTGAGGCACTTTTCTCCATCTTCCCGCTGGATGCGGTGCAGGTGTATTCTCCGGTGTGGTCGACCGTCACGTTCTCCACTCTGAGTTTGCTGGAAAGCTCCAGCGAGTTCCACAGCTTCTTCTTGTTGGGCGTCGTGTGGGTCGGCCTCGAATTGTTCACCGAGGTCTGACATGTGAGAGAGAGAGAGAGAGAGAACGATTCAGAAGTGCTGTTCAGACAATTAAAACACATCAGAATGAATGAGGGGAAGACTTTTTTTTAGCTAAAACAAACCTAAAGTAGCAAAGCCTTCAGTTAACTAATCTGTTGCAGGCGTAGACGGTATTTAAGAAGTGGACGTAGTAGTCATGACGTCACTCACTGGTTTGTGGACTGCGGTTTTGAAGCCTCAAGTTCATCATTTTGACCTTTGCCATTTTGACATTTTCGCAATAGGAATTGACCTTATTTGGACTGTGAAGGAGTGATGTAGAGCTGTATGAACGCCCTAAAGCATCCCCTGCTTTATGGTCTGTTTGACTCCAAATGGACCATAATGTACTAAATGAACATCATGCTGTATTGAAGAAGACTTGAAACTAGAGATTGAGACCATAAACTCATGTTTACAATGTTTACTGAGGTAATAAATCAAGAGAGAAGTAGAGTCATTTTCTCATAGACTTCTATACAACCAGAGGAGTCGCCCCCTGGTGGACATTAGAGAGAATGCAGGTTTAACACATGAAGCATTGGCTTCACATTTCAGAACCTGAGGTTGTTGCCTGGTTGCAAACCACATTTTGGCATCTGGCTCAAAAAGTGACATCCATAGAAAGTTTTTTTTTTTTTTTTTTTTAATCTGCAGAATACCCGATATGTTATGATCCAATGAAGTTGGGCACTATACGAGAGTAAAACACACCTGGGGGAGATCTGCACTCTACTGAATATGCTCTTTTCTAGTTTCTTATATGAACCGGCACGACATCAAAAACACATCTGGTCACCTTTGCACTTTGAGATAAACTAAAGGATTCCTGAAAACAGGAAGTAAGGAATACGTGAGGAAGTGAGATACAACACTTCTGGTGTCTCTGTCCGTCCTCAGCGTGTATTAAAGACAGGCTGTCACATGTAAAATATACATGTCGGCATTGGCCGACACAGAGGAAGAGCAGGTAGGGATCGGGCACTGACCAGGGCCTGACCGGAGTGGGTCCAGTTGAATTCGATGCCCACGTTGAGCTCGGTTTTGGCCGTGCAGCCGAGCTCCAGCCGCTCCCCCGCACACAGCCTGAGCTGAGCGGGGGTCAGGGTGAGTTCGTAGATCTTGTATCCTGCGGAAAAGAAAAGGGAGGGACGACATGGCAGTCAGTCGACGGCCTATTGTTCTCCTGCGACTACCGACTCTCTCTCTGCTCATACTTTTCCTCGCTCGCTCAGTATTCCACCAAGTCTTTCATTTACTTTACGATCATATGTTCCTCTACGGTTTGAAAATTCTGTCCACACCACCTACGTTTTACAAAATATCTTCACTAGAACTAGAACATTGGAACGCAAAAAAACCCAGACTCCAAGGTGGCGATAAAGGCTACATCACTGATACCTCAGATACCAGAGGAGATTCTGCTCATTTTCCTTTGGCGGTGTTAACAAATTGTAGACAATAGCAAAGCAATAGCTAATTATTTATTTATTTATACATACTTTATATTTGGTGCCATGTCGAAAACTGAAATCGACTCATATGTGGTCAATCAACGAGGTGGATTTTCTGCGTAGCGTCACTTTACGATATAAGGAAATAAAAGCTTAAAAAAAAAAAAAAAAAAAGGTGATTGGGAAGGCGTCTTGTTCTACGAAATATTCAGACATCTCGGTGGCCTTTCAGGAGCAGCATCCTGCAGAGGAAGACTGTGAGAAGGCGGGGAACGAGTTTCCTCACGCAAAAGACTGACTAGATTAACGCGGGAAAAACAGTATTGTAGGAGTGAAGGAACGACGGTGTTGACTTTAGGTCCGTTTGACTGATCTTCGCTGGTCGTTGTTGAAGTGAAACCATCCGTTATGTAAAGATGTCATCGTTTCCACACAAATACAAAGTACCTTTTAGTGACATAAAACTGCGTGTGGACGAGATGTCAAACCGTAGAAATAGCTTTTTTTAAATACATATCTGTAGACAGGCTTACCGACAACAGCCACAATGTAGAGGGGGGACTTGAACGTCTCATTTCCGACGCGGGTCTGGCAGGACACGACGCCGGCGTAGCTGATCAGGTGACTGGGGACCGTGAAGCCCGTCCTGGCGTCCCACAGGGAGTCCTTCCCATCGGGATGGAGCTCCTTATTTGGATACTTCTGACAGACACAAACATTTACTGATTTCGAACACAGAAAAGAAAAATACAAAAAACACCAGGAATTTTTCCACACAAGCACCAATACCCAGATATGTAAATAAGATGATATAATAAATTTAAAAAAAAATAAATAAATTAAAAAAAACTATAAAAATTATTAATCTGCAACCCTGTAAAATGAGGTATTAGTTCTGTAATGCTGGTCGTCCTACAGAAGTTGCTTCCATCCTGTGCAGCAGAGAGAGAGAAGATGAAGGGAACAGAAACAACTCTTCCTCACAGTGTGGAGCGTGACGTTGAGATCCTCCACCGAGCCTCGGCACGGTATCACCACCCGCTCCCCCTCACGGATGAACACCACCTCGTATTCTTTCTCAGGCGGCACAAATGGCACCTTGTAATCTGAAATAACAGATAATATGTGTAAGTTAACTTAAAAACGGTGTATTAGTTAGCAGTGTGTCCTTTGTGAGACTGACTGCAGGATTTACAGTATAAATGGTGACAGCGATACTATTTGCAGTATTGCAATCCGAACCTTTAAAACAATTTGACTTAAAGGCACTGTTTCTTAATACCGTTTGATATGTTCACAGTATTTATACAACACTTAGACCTACTTTATAATACAAAATATAATATAATAAAGCAAAGATGTCAGTTTGTTGAGTGGGTTGTACCGTTGACAAACACATAAGCTGCTGCTGACGTCTTGCCGTCCTCCACCTTCAGGTCCCTGTAGGAGCACTGGTACTGTCCGGTTTCGTTGACGGTCGCGTTGGAGATCTGCAGTGTCGTGCAGAAGAGTCCCGATCCACTGCAGTCACTGGTGGAGAAGTGAGTGCTCGTAGGAGGGGTCGTCCACCTCAGGTACTGGCGGCCTCTGCCACACGAGAGATATTGAGTCAGTTCTGTACTGTACGTATAGATTGAACTGGTTAAAGTATATGCATACGTATACCTGCATGTCAGTTCCAGGTTGTCCGATTTGTTCATCCTGTGAATGCCATAGATGTTCAGCATCGGTGGATCGGGCATAAACCGCAGTTCGATGGCTAGAGGAGTCGACAAAAACAGTGATGACACAAGTCTGTGCAGCGCTAACAAACAACAGCTTCACAGAGGGGTCAGAGGTCACTATGGTTTCCAATAGCGCGCACAGTATGGTCCTTTAAAGATGTACTAAATGGAAATTAAATCAGGTTCAAAAGCCCAAGGTTGGAACTTAAAGCACAAAAAATATGTATTTTTAAAAAGGGTGTTTTGTAACTGGCTACTGAGGGGACATTTTTTCCACTGCTGCAGAAAATGGCGGAGCTGTGTCAAAACAGGAAGCAGGGGAAGATGGGCCGGGTCAGGCTCAATAGCCCGGCACAGTGTGGCCTAGGTGGGGTTCCTGTTTCGGAGGATACAGGCTGCCCACCACCTCCCTGTGAGGCCCTAAAGCACACACTGTATTGTATTGGGGGGGGGAAAAAAAAAAAAAAAAAGAAAAAAAAAAAAAAAAAACACTTTATAGGCTGACCAAGTGGGAATTATATAAGTTTGATTTGATTGATTTGTGTGTTGGGTTGTAGTTAGTTCTTTGTCAAATAGACTCACATTTCCCTCCTTTTGTCAACATATCTCAGAGCAGAAATTAGTGGATTACACTAGAATACTTTTTCCTACTCATCACATTTCAGACTTGTGGAACTCTTCATTAACCACAAAAGTATTCAGCAAAGCTCATTTATGCCTGTCCTAATATTTACAACTGACAGCTATCCCGTCATGTCACATTCCTTGTATGTTCAACATACCACGGCAATAAACGATTCTGATACATTAAATTGACATAAAAAGTAATAAATGATTGCCTCTATTGCAATACTTAGTTTGTTGTTTAACTGAAGTTTTTGGTTCAGACAGAAGATTTGATGAGTATTTAATTGATTCTCTTACCAGCAACACAACTGATTTTCAGAATAATGCCAAACAGTGAGACTGCCTGCGCCATCGTCCGTCAGGTCTTCGCTGCAGTAACGATAATCCTACAGGCTCAGTGTGCTAATCCATCGACTTCTGATGTTTGAGATTCCACCCCAGAGAAAGTTTGCGACACCACAAAGTCATGAAAATGAGCAGCGGAGGACTGTGAGTCCAAATGGAGCTGAAGCTGCTGCTGAGGATGGAGAGACTCCTTCAGCTGGACAGCCTGCAGGGGAGGAGTCTGTCTGTCTGTCTGTCTGTAAAAAAGTCACATTATATAGTATGTCAAAAATGTAATAAAAAATGTCATAGTATAGTATGTCAAAAAAAATCAAAAGCTGTTAGTGTGTCAGTGTGTCATAAAAGTCATAGTATAGTATGTCAAAGAAATCATTAAAATGGCAGTGTACAGTATGTCTTAAAAATGTCATGAATATGGCATCATTTTGAGAAGCCCCAACATTGGGTTTCTCTAGCTGTATGAAATTTGGTAGGTATATTTAGCGTGATGGGACGTACAAAAAATCCTCTTGGAATTATGCCTTAAACAAACAGGAAGTTGGCCATTTTTAAATTGTATGACGTTTGACCAAAAAAAAACAAACAAAAAAAACACACCATTCGCCATGAAAGAGGAAGTTGTTGTAACTCGGCCGTACATTGTTCTTCAAAGAAGTAGTGTAGATGTCTTCTAATAACAGCAAACCAAACCTTACAGCACGGAACTAGAAAGTGAATCCAGAAATAAACAAACACTATAATTATCCTGTAGTGAATAAGTGGGCGTGTCAACAAAAATTCTGCCAATAATTTCTTCTCTAAGGACCAATACCAATGTCTCCCCTAAAGCCTCAAACCCTGAACCCTCAAGGACTTAATACATGAATAAATATCCTCTGATTTCATGTTTTTTATTTGTTCTATCTTTATCCCTTAATATTTCATGTCATATTTAATACAGCACAAGCCTTACAAAAACTACAGAATTCGCTTCAATACTCACATAATTCGTGCACGCTGATGTCCGATGGTCACAGAAATGCAACCAGAGTCCTGCCAGTACCCGCGACGTGCGTGAAGGTGCGAGGGCCCGATCAATGCTGCTTGCAGCTTTAATTGAAAATGATGTTTCACAATAAAAACATTTGAGACAGTCTTCTTCAGGCGGCACAAAAAAAAAATAAAAAAAAATAAAAAATAAAAAAATCATAGATTCAGTTTCATCGCCTGCCAAAAGATGTCCATCAAGGTTTGGATGTTATAGCTCAAACTGTCGGATGATTTGGGACAGTGTCAACACAAGGAAACAAATGGAGCAGCATCTCACCTGACTAGGAGACGGAGGTGCGTGTCTTGATGTTGGCATGGATTCAGAAGGGTATGGTAACCGTAAAACTCCTCCAAGGCCACAGAGTCAGAATCCCCATCCGTGTGGGTGGAGGGGTTCAGGTGATAGGGTTTCTTGGGCCCGGAGGGAGGTCTCTCATGGTCCGCACCGGGGACCTGCTGGGTGTTCCTGGCAGTCGTCTGGGTCCTGCCGATGAAATCTGGCGATGAGTCGAGGGTCGCAGATGTTCCGAGCCGGAACCCATTGCCTCTCCTCTGGACCGTATCCCTCCCAGTTGACCAGGTATTTAAGCCCTCGCCCCCAGCGGCGGGAGCACAGCAGGCGATGGACAGAGTAAACCGGACCTCCTTCGAAGAGGCGAGGAGGCAGAGCAGCCGGCACCAAAGGGCTCTCCCGGACCAGTTTGACCTTGGATACATGGAACGTGGGGTGAATGCGCATGGATCTGGGGAGCTTGAGCCTTACTGCCGCCGGGTTGATGATCCTCTCAATCTCGAACAGCCCGATGAACCGTGGGCCCAGCTTTTTAGAGTCCACCCGCAAAGGTAGGTCCCTGGTTGCCAACCACACCCTCTGACCCACCTGGTAGATGGGGCTGGGGTGCGGTGTCGATTCGCCGCTGTAGCAGCACGGTCCGCAGACTGGAGCAGGGTTGCTCGGGCCCTAGCCCAGGTCTGGCAGCAGCGGCGGATGAATGTCTGGACAGATGGGCAGGAAACTTCCCTTTCCAATGCCGGGAACAGGGGTGGCTGGAACCCATAAGCACACTGAAAGGGTGACAAGCCTGTGGCGGAACTGGTGAGGGTGTTATGGGCGTACTCTACCCATATCAACTGGCGGGACCAGGAGGCAGGATTCCGGGAGACCATGCAGCGAAGGGCTGTTTCCATCTCCTGATTCTTCCTCTCCGTCTGACCATTGGACTGAGGATGAAACCCCGAAGACAGACTGACAGTGGCCCCCAGCAGAGTGCAGAATTCCCTCCAAAAGATGGAGGTGAACTGAGGACCTTGGTCGGAGACAATGTCGACTGTAATTCCATGCAGACGGAAGATATGCAGACAGATGAGTTCAGCCGTCTCCTTAGCAGATGGGAGTTTGGGGAGAGGAATGAAGTGGGCCAGCTTGCTGAATCTGTCGACCACTGTCAGAATGATGGTGTGGCCCTCAGATAACGGTAGTCCGGTGACAAAATCCAGGGAGATGTGAGACCACAGACGATGAGGCACTGGGAGAGGCCGCCCGGAGCCTGATGGGAAGGTTTCTGTTGGTTGCACACAGGGCAGGCGTTGACGAATCCCCTGGTGTCCTCGTTGAGCGAGACCCACCAGAAGCGCTGCCGCAGGACGTCCTGGGTCCTCTGGATGCCCGGGTGGCAGGTAAGTGGAGAGGAGTGTGCCCACTGGAGGACGTCGGACCAAAGGGCCTGAGGGACAAACAGGCGGTTAGGAGGGCACGCGCTGGGACCGGCTTGACCCCTAGTTGTGGCCCTCACCGAATTCTCAATCTCCCAGGTGAGAACGCCTACTTGACAGGAGGCAGGGAGGATGGATGGATGGATGGAGAGCCAGAGGTGGATTCCTCCTCCCCATGGAACTGACGGGAAAGGGCATCAGGCTTGACATTGCGGGAACCGGGGCGATAGGAGAGCGTGAAGTGGAACCGGGTGAAGAATAACGACCACCTGGCCTGTCGGGAATTGAGTCTCTTGGCTGTGTGGATGTACTCCAGTTTCTTGTGGAGTACATCCATCCGAGGGGACCAAGGAATGGGAGCTTGGTCCCCTCCAACCAATGCCGCCACTCCTCCAGGGCCAGCTTCACTGCTAGTAGTTCTCGGTTACCAATGTCATAGTTTCTCTCGGCGGGGGAAAGCCGTCGCGAGAAAAAGGCACAGGGATGGAGCTTTTGATCAGTGGCCGAGCGCTGGGACAGGACACCCCCAACTCCTATGTCGGAGGCATCCACCTCCACCACAAATTGCCTGTCAGGATCCGGGACTCGGAGGATGGGTGCAGAAGTGAACCTGGACTTCAGGCTCTGGAAGGTCTCTTCAGCTGCAGAAGTCCAACGGAAAGGGGTCTTGGAGGTGGTGAGGGCGGTGAGTGGGGAAGCGACCGCACTGTAATTCCTGATGAACCTCCGATAGAAGTTGGCGAACCCCAGGAGACTTTGAAGTTGCTTGCAGGAGCTTGGAACAGGCCAGGTAGTGACCGCGGCAACCTTAGTGGGGTCCATCTGGATGCTGCCCTGGGAGACAATATATCCCAGGAATGAAACCGTGGGAACATGAAACTCGCACTTCTCCGCCTTCACAAACAGGGAGTTCTCCAGTAGGCGTTGAAGCACGGACTGGACGTGGTGCACATGTTCCTCTTGGTTCTTGGAGAAGATCAGTATGTCGTCGAGGTAGACGAATACGTGCCGGTCCAACATGTCACGGAGCACGTCGTTGACCAGGGCCTGGAAGATGGCGGGGGCGTTGGTTAAGCCGAAGGGCATCACAAGGTACTCGTAATGTCCTTTAGGTGTATTGAATGCCATCTTCCACTCATCTCCTTCCCTGATCCGGACCAGGTAATAGGCATTGCGGAGGTCAAGCTTGGAGAAGATGGTGGCCCCTTGAAGTAGCTCGAAGGCCGTTGCGATGAGTGGCAAGGGGTAGCGGTTCTTAACCGTGATTTAATTTAAGCCCCGGTAGTTGATGCAGGGTCTGAGAGTCTTGTCCTTCTCCACAAAGAAAAATCCAGCCCCTGCGGGAGAGGACGAGGGGCGTATGATACCGGAAGCCAGGGAGTCGTTAATATATTTGTCCATAGCTTCTCTTTCAGGAGCTGACAGGGAATACAGGCACCCCTTAGGTGGGAATGTACCAGGATGGAGGTCGATGGCACAATCATACGGACGGTGAGGAGGCAGAGACAGGGCCTTGGACTTGTTGAATACTTCCCTAAAGTCCAAGTATTCCGCAGGAACCCCCGTAAGTTCAGGCGTGGACCTGGAGAGCGCGGCACTTCGTGGAATGGCGGCTTGCTTCAGGCAGACTAGGTGACAGGCCTGGCTCCAACCCTGAAAAGCTCCCGTAGTCCAGTCGACTTGCGGATTATGTCGACGCAGCCAGGGGTATCCCAGAATGAGGGGGATGCGAGGGGTTTGCAGGATGTGGAAACTGATGGTCTCGTGGTGGTTGCCGGATAACAGCATGTGTACCGGGACGGTTTGGTGAGTCACCATTCCCAGAAGATGACCATCCAGGGCTCTGGCTGGAACAGCCTGTGGAAGAGGTCTCCGGTCGATTCCCAACTGGGTAACAAGGTCCTCGTCCATGATTGACGCGTCTGCTCCAGAATCCAGGAAGGTGGAAATAGTATGGGAGCCCCCGGTTAATAGTAGTTGGGCGTGGAAAAGTGGTCGTTGACAGGTGGAGGATCGGGAATCAGCTCGGCTCACCCGTACCTCCCCCCTTACTGGTGAGCCCGGTCTTTTAATGGGCAATTGTAAGCATAATGACCCACCTGACCACAGTACATGCATAGGTTTCCCCGTCTGCGTTGCTCTCGTTCCTCTGTGGATAGCCCAGTACGTCCCACTTGCATGGGTTCGCTTGCCTGAGGAAGCGGCTGCGTCGGCGTGTAATCCGGAGCCGTAGCACGAGGAAAGCAAGACGGTTGCCCTTGACTTGGCTGTCCCCGGCGCCTTGCCAGCCGTCTGACTTGGATGCGGCGATCCACTCTGGAGGTAGTCTCGATAAGTCCGTCCAGGGACGTGGGTAGCTCGATCGAGATGAGTTCATCCTTGATGTAATCCGCTAACCCGAGCAGATATGCGTCACACTCGGCGTCCATTCCCCATGAGCTTAATCGAGCCTGGGTCCGGAATTCAATGGCGTAGTCCGTGACCAATCGGTGGCCCTGCTGAAGCCTCATTAGCCCTCCGGTGACGTCCGGTTCTCTGGAAACTGCCCCGAAAACCTTGCGTAGCTCGGCGGAGAAGGACTGGAAGGAAGCACAGGCAGGGGTACGACGATCCCACTCCGCCGTTCCCCACAGCCGAGCTCTCCCCGTCAGGTGGTTGATGGTAAACGCTACCCTGGCGTCTTCAGACTCGAAAGTGTGGGGATGCAACGCAAACAGGATGGAGCAGTTCGTCAGGAATGCGTTGCAACCCTCAGGATCCCCGGCGTAGCGTTCGGGCTCCCCCACCCGGGGCTCCAAGACCGCCATAGATGCTGCTGGACCCATTCTCGACTGAACCGGAGCGAGTTGCGGCGAAGCAGCCACGTTGGCCGGAGCTGTGGCTGCCGTGAGTTGTCGTACCTGGTCTATCAACGTGGTGAGAACCTGGTTCTGATTCGCCAGGTCTTGGCGAACCTCGGCGGTGTTGGTGGCCACCATGGTCTGGGTTCATCGCATCGCCTCCTTGATCGCCTCGAGCCGGGCCCATGCTGTGGCGTCATCTGCTGGATCCATGTTGTGGCCAGATCGTACTGTTACGGGTGTAGTTAGGACCCAGGAGCAGTACGACAAGACCCGGACTGGTTTGATTTGAGTTCTTTATTAGCAACGCACAACAGGCAGAATATTCTCTGGCAGAATCCATGACAGGTTTCTCGGGGTCAAGGACAGAAGGGCTGAGTAAGTTTCCAGGGCAGGGGCAAGGCGAGGTAGTCTGGGACAGGCAAGGTCGGCAACAGGGAATCAGTCCATGGGTGAGTGCGGGAAAGTTGAGCGTGAAAGCAACGAACGATCTGGCAGTGAGTGTGTGTGAGGCAGGGGTTTAAATAGTGAAGAGGCAGAGTGAGCAGGTGAGAGTGATGAGCTGATGAGGTGAGTGTGACTGGCAGGTGCACTGAATGAACTGATTAGGTGAGTGAAAGAAGGAAAAGGCTAGATAGAAGTAACCGAGCTGTGACAAATAGAACTGAATTCAAAAACAATGTTTGTGAAAACAGCCATTTAAAAGTTGTCAGAAGAAATAATTTCAAATAAGCTGTGAATTGTTTTCAGCACTGTTTGTGATTGTGCTCTGAGATCACAGTGTCCCACAATGCAATGCAGAAAGAATGGGCATGAAGCACTCGTGTGTAAAGAGACAGAGAGGAGCTGGGAGGGGCTGAGTGTTTGTGTATCTACTCTACACTGTGGTGACTGATGCAGAAAGGAGGGCACAGTACAAGTACACAACAGTTAACTGAAACAAGAAGGAAAGCATGCAGCATTTACATGACTCATGTAGAAACCATAGGAGAACACAATATATGGAATTGCAAATTAGAAACCCCCAAAAGTTTAAATTAACACTCATTGAGTGTTTATATGGAAACCACTCTAAAAGTGTTAAATCAACACTTTAGAAAGAATAGGCCCGTTTCCCAGAAGCCATTCTGACATGCAGGGTAAACACAGATGAGATTGAAAAAAAAATGAATTATGGCCCAGTTCCATTTAGGTGGGACGGGGCCCTGGTATTGAACATGCATTACGCACAAGCTTCTAGATACATCAAACACTCAGGAAACAAAGAGGTCAGGAGAAGTCTTCATGTCTGTGTGTATCATTCAAACTGCTGTTTCCTTCCAACTGTGTCTCAATCTGCATCTTATTTGATGATATTCTACGTCGCCCACGGAGCACCAGCTTAACTGCAGTCTTTCGGGGGCCTAAAGGGGGGCCCGCTCTTGGCGCAGCATTAAGGAAAGAGGACACTGAGGACAGAGAAGGGAGGGGAGCAGGAAACAGAGCACGCTTCCTCAGACAGGATGCTGAGCTCCTCTAAGAGAAGGCATCCTGGAATCTCAGGCCTCAAAGGCTTTTCTACCAAGTGTTTCACACAAACACGCTGCTTTTCCTTTGACACGTTGCTGCATTATGGAGAGGAGGAACTCACAGGAGCGAGAGCTGCGAGAGGAAAAGCTCAGAAAAAAAAAAAAGGTGAGCATGAGCAAAGAACCGAGGCCGAGAGGTCGGTCAACATCAAATCAAAGTGAGATGAACTTAACACATAAAACACCAGCGCTCACACATGCACCTTCTGTCCTACTGTGCTACATATATTGTTCTTTTTACATTTTACAAGATACACTTTAAATATTTAACATATGATAAACTTATGAGGTTCAATACTTTACTTTAACAACCTAACAGTATAAACTAGTTAAACATGGGTCCACTTATATCCATTAAATGCAGCTTTTATGTTGATAGTAGTAATAATTATATAATGTTACTTAGTAATGTTGTACTATTACTTGTGTACTTTATATAATAAAAAGTATCTACTCAGACATTTTACTTGTAACTATTTAAGTATTTTTACATTATAATAAATAAAGTATCTTAATTACAGCTGAAATTATGACTTGATTCATTGATTAGTTGGTTATTTGAAAATGAACCCGCAGCCAATTTGATAATTAAATGATCATTTATGTCATTAATTGATCTTATTCCAGCTTCTTAAATGTAAATGTTTTCAGCTTTTATTGGTCTTTTAGGATATTAGACTTAATATCTTTGGTTTTTGGACAAAACAAACAGTTTCAATTTGTCAACTTGGGCTTTGAGAAACTCTGATGTGTATTTTTTGAGTGTATTTTTTGTTGTTGTTTTTTGGGACATTTTATCGACCAATAAATTAATTTGACAATGAAAATAATCATTACTTAAAGGATTCATTATTGTCGTTATATAATACAGGATTGCCCGGTGAAATATTATCATGCAGGCATCACAATATCAGAACTCATTCCACCACTGCATTTAACTTTGTATGTTCAAAGACAAACTGATACAAGTTTAGAGAGGATTGACACGTGGACACAAACAATACATTTCAGAGTATTAGCCTTATCTGTAGAACTGAATATCATCTGAAAGGACGGTCCATGCTCTCATGCTGGCTCCTCCTGTTATGTGGTAGGATTCAGGTGCTGCCCTCTGCTGGATGAAAAAATAAAAGCTCTTCTCATGAACACTAAATTTGTGATTTTGTACACAAGATATTTGAAGTAGATCCTTGTACCTTTTGTTCTCCAGAAGCTTAAACCATTGATCATCTATTTTCTAAATATTCATACAATGATTTTTGGTCTGATGTAGTAATATTAATTAAAAATGCACAATTTAGCATAATTTACTTACAATGACAGGCCTATAATTTATTTTATGGACAACTTGGATGCAAACATTTAAGATAATGTTAATGGAATGATTACATATCATAGTCATATTGTAGGTGGAAAGGCAGCACTCCCTCTTTCACTGTGTTCATGTATAATTTTTCCAACAACTTAAAGTCGTCAGTAAAAATTAATAGAAAGGCAAAAAAATGGTTTAAATCTATAACTATTAAATCTATTTTTCGTTAATGTCTTTAACGTCTGTTAACGTGATTGTTTCTCTCTTTTGTTTTCTTTTTAACATTAATCATTTTTTTCTTTCTTGATTTTCAGCATTACGGAAGCGGATTAGGCCCACATGTGGAAAAAAAATATTTGAGTTATGACTTTAAATTTCTCTTTTTCCTTCTCGTGTGGCCCCAATCTTCTTCCGTACAGTCTAATATGACCTCTATTGTTTGTGTTTAACTGTGTTGAAGCATCATTTCCACCATTGTTGATTTAGTTCTACACTTCATCTTTTTATATTAATACCGTTTCTTGTTTTGTATATTTTTCTTGCTCTAAAAAATTAAGTTTCATCCGGAACTATTATGACCCTTTTCCGACGGACTCTTTTCAGCGTTGCACACAACATTGTACTCAACACGGCGTAGCTGGACAATGACGCGGGGCTCGTTCAGCGCGAGCCACACGGATGTTTTATGGTCTTTTCTGGCGTCATGTTTCCTTTTAGCTTTCTGTGTTCACAAAATATCAACACACCTGCCGAGGAAATATGCAACGTGTCGTCTCTACGTTTTATTTCAGGATCTGATTCGGTACGGAAAGACCAAACAAAACCTCTCACGAGACGACTGGCTGCGCGCGTTAGACGTCCCGAAAAGGTAACAGTAACGTGAATAAATGTGATAAAATGTTTAAACGTGAATATATTATTATATTAAATATATGAAGTTTTAAGGGTTCGTTTCATTGTTTAAAATACAGAAAACTCAAATGTGTTTCTGCTAATTTAGTGAAACACAATCATATCTGTCAGTTTATTCTTTCAGTGTGAAATTTTAATTAAATAATTTAAATTGTCATTTATTTAATACCACCAATGTTACTAATAATTTGTTACTGTGACAATATGAGTACAAATGTAATTTAATGATTAACTCTCTTGCTCTTACAAACAATAAAAAAACAGGTTATTTGCATATTACAGAAACATATCTAATGAAACTCCCTGACGTCAAATGAAATGCTCTTTTCTAATGTCTGTGCTTGTTCATTTTAAGATTTTCAATTATTTTCGTATTATTATAATAGTTAAATTTTCAACTTATTTAGAACATTTATTTGTCTCTCATTGCATTGTTTTAATTCATCCCCCCCACCCCACCCCCTTGTATTTAAATAATATACTGTTTTGTTGTTAGCAGCTCTCCTCTATCGTGTACTTGTTTTTCCTTAAATAAAGTTCTGTCTTTATTCTCCTTTCAGATGGTTCTGGCACTTCTACTTCATCTCTGTGGTCTGGAATGCTTTTCTTCTGTCTTTGTACCTGAACTCCATATTTCAGCATCAGTGCTACCCGTCATGGCTGACTGGAATATTAGACATTTTGACAGATGCACCAAACACCGACAGTCACGGTAGGCTCTTGCTCTTACTGGTGTTTCCCTGTGTGATCCGCTCTGTCTCTGGTACTGATGCTGTCTGTAGTCCCACAGCTGTCTACTCTGCTGGTGCAGCTGCTGCTGTGCGTCCACTCCCTCAGGAGGCTGCTTGAGTGCCTGTTCGTCAGCGTCTTCTCTGACGGAGCCCTTCACGTGGTGCAGTACGTGTTCGGCGTGTGTTATTACGTCATACTGGGGCTGACGGTGCTCGGCTCCGATCGTCTGGGAGAAGGTGAAAGTGAAATCATCCCTCTCTGCAGCCGCTGTACGCTGGTTCTGCTGTGTGGGTTTTGATGTTTGTGCTGCTTTTTTTTGTTTTTAGGGACTGGAAGCCTCCTCTTTCAGCTGGACTGGTTTCATGTGGCTGGAAGTGCACTTTTCATTTGGGCCTCTCTGATGCAGCATCAGTCCACGGTGCTGCTGGCCGGGCTTCGCACCGGAAAGTCAGGTAAGCAGCTGTCTCTGCTTAAAACCAGTAGCTGGGTGGTTTGGGCCTTTTGTTACAAATGATGTAAACTTTAAGGAATACTTCACCCACAAAATGACCATTTATTTATCAGGTACTCACCGCATGTTACTTTGAATTCTCAAAACTTGTTTTAACTTTTAAAACACTATTTAATACACTTCACACTCGTCAGGACTCCCACAGACTGTTTATTCCCGTGCAGTCTCTCTCTTGCTCTGTGTTACGACCGGCTCGGGAGTCGCAACATATAGGAGGGACACAACACCAAGTTAGGTTAAAAATAACCACAGCTGCCAGTTTATTTACAGTAAACTGTAGTGTGCAAATCCCACTGCAGACCAGGGTCTGGTGCCAGGCAGATGAGAGAGAGCGAGGGCGGAGCAAGGAGGCGCTTACATAGGTAAACCACATCCTCATCCAGGTGCCCTCAATCACTCGTTAGGGAGCTGCACCTAGAAGTCAAAAGACGCAGAATACACACACACCCAAGCACAAACATTCACAGCAGGATATAGAACCATACATAACACTCCCTTCCTTAAGATGACAGCCATAAGGGTGTCATCCAAAACCATGCCGTTTTAACAGAAGAAACCCTCTTACGCATGAGGATACCAACCTCCCAGTAAAAGTGGCATGAGTAGTACCACTCTCATCCTTAGGCAACACTGCTGCCATACACTTGGCCAAAGGAGGGTCAGCCTTCTGGGCTGCTATCAGCTGTTCCTTGCCAACCTTCAACTGTGTGTCAGGCCCAGCCGGCACAGTGACAGGACAGGTCAATTTAACTTCAGTAGACTCATTTCCAACAGCATTAGTGGACAGCTTATCTAGAGGCAACTCAGAAGTTACAGAAGGATCAGGATCAGCCTCTAGACTGTCAACAGGTGGAGCCACTTCAGATAAATTCACTACATCTTCATACTTTCTTGACTGGACATGAGTTCCAATGCAAGCAGGAAGGACTTTAGGTAACCAAGATGACAGATCAGCACTCTGGTAATTGTCAACTATGGAGCCTGTTGGTCTATCCACTACAATGGGAGCAGGAAACACCTTTCCTCCAGCCAAGTCATTACCCAAAATCAGGTCTACTCCCCCTAAAGGAAGCTGGGGACGAATCGCCACCACGACAGGGCCTGTAACCAACCCAGATTGCAAATACACAACATGCAATGGGGCTTTAAGCCACCTCATCCCACATCCTTGGACTGAAGCACTGCTACCAGTGGAGGTCTTCTCAGAGAGAGGCAAAACTCCTGCCAAAAACAAGGACTGAGAGGCTCCTGTATCCCTAAGGATGCGAATTGGGATGAGCTTCTCAGAATCAGAAATTGCTATTGAACCCTCCATACGGACTGGTGCAAAGGAGTCATGCTGAGTGCGTTTTTTATTGGTCTGACAAGGACCAACTACACAGGGCAACTGCTGTGGTACTGAAACTATTAGCCCTACAGGCTTAGTACCTTCTGACTTTTTATTGAGAGCATGACAGTTTGCTATGAAAGGACCAGGCTTTTTGCAATAAAAGCAAGTCCTAAGGGGTACTGAAGGAGACCCATTGCTTCCAGGTCTTAAATGAAAGGTGTGAGGAGAGGCTAAGCTCTTAGTCTCACCGGTTTTGCCACTAAAGAGCCAAGACATACTCATCGGCAAGCACAGCAGCCTCCTCCACTTTAGTCTCTCTTTGCTCACAATTTCTAAATTCTTCCAGAATAATCAACTGCTGAAGTTCCTGATTGGTCACAACCTTTTGTGATGTGAACCACCTAGTGAAAAGGATTTCCTTTTCACTAGCAAACTCCACAAATGTCTGCTTCTCCACCTTACGATACCCTCTAAACCTCTGTCTGTAGGCCTCAGGGACCAACTCATAGGCACGCAAGATGGCTGCCTTAACGATGTCATAATCTGAGCTCTGGGTCGGAGTTAAAGATGAATAAGCCTCCTCAGCTCTACCGGTCAGTACACACTGCAACAGTAGTGTCCAGAATTCTTTAGGCCATGCTAAGGTGGTAGCAACACGCTCAATGTGGGAAAAGTACTTTTCTACCTCCTTCTCACCACAATGAGGAACTAAAGCTATGTTCTTAGCTACATCAAAACGAGGACTGGATGTATAAGAATTAGCCTGCTCAGTTTCAGCTCTTGACCTTAACTCCAGCTCCTTCATTTTCTCCTCATGTCCTTGTCTCAACCTCTCCATCTCAAACCTCTTCACCTCTTCTCTTTCCTTAGCCTCCATTTCTATCTCTTTTATTCTGAATTGCAATTCCAATTCTCGCAAACGTACAGATTGAGCATCTTGAGACTTCAAGATTACTTGTTCCGTCTTCCCAACAGTTAAACCTGCAGACACATGTAAGCCCTGCGCCTCATCAGGCTGACTAGATTCACGGGGCAATACTCCCCGTTCAATGAGTGCAGTGACTACCTTAGCTCTAAGCTGACCTTTCTTAAGGGACGTTTGAGCAATTTCAAGATGGTACTGCTCTGCAACAGACATGAGCTGGGCTTTGGTACATTGAGCCAGCTGCTCTATTGTAGGACCTTCACTGATCTCTTGAAAATCAGACTTCATTGTGAGATCACAAAAACAACTTTATGAGGAACAAATCTCTACAAGGTAGCACACCCAAAAATGGGCTCCCCCTAAGTAAGTCAAACCACCAACACAAAGTAACACTACCACACAGAAATAGTGCTACCAAACAGCACAGCTTACCTACAGAAAATCAGAGAGTAACTGAAATGCACCAATCACTAGGCTGTCTATACAAGAGCAGCTACTTAACTATGTCAGGCCACACAGTATAGGAATAGTGTTAACAGTACTCTTACCCCTATGATACACTGAAATTCTAAACACTACTTTTCTACTGCCACTAAGAAGAAAGTAGGTTCCACAAAATGTAGTCCCTGCAAGAAGCATGCAACTACCTGAACACGAAGCTCACACAGATAATAGAAAAGCATGAGCACTGGCCTACTAAGACAGCCAGACGAATCAGGGTTCAAAGAAGAACAAAACTACAGCCTAGCATTTAACCAAAACTAGTGTGCACAACAATATTTCTCCACTCTTACTACTCGCACAGTGTTCAGCATGTGTGAAGAACAAAGGCCAGCAAATGCCACCACATACTATCCTGAGGAATGAACATTTCAAACTGACCTATTCTTGAACTTACCTGGTTTCCTCTCTACCTAAAAAAAACTGTAGTTCTATCTGGCTAAACCTCAACTAGTCTTCGTCGGCTTTCCCGGGCACGCCAGGGGCCACCCCAGGGTTACCGCACCAAAAACAATAAAGTGGTGCCGGTCTCTCCAACACCTGCAGGCTTTCTTAACCAGGCAAGCTCAAAAAGAGAAAAACTAAAAACTCTACCTTAAGTGGTGACATCAGCCTGAACCTACTAACTAAGTCTAGGAGTAAAACATTACCTAAGGCTAACTGAGCTTCGGACGAGCCCCCATTCTGTTACGACCGGCTCGGGAGTTGCAACATATAGGAGGGACACAACACCAAGTTAGGTTAAAAATAACCACAGCTGCCAGTTTATTTACAGTAAACTGTAGTGTGCAAATCCCACTGCAGACCAGGGTCTGGTGCCAGGCAGATGAGAGAGAGCGAGGGCGGAGCAAGGAGGTGCTTACATAGGTAAACCACATCCTGATCCAGGTGCCTTCAATCACTCGTTAGGGAGCTGCACCTAGAAGTCAAAAGACACAGAATACACACACGCACACAGACACACCCAAGCACAAACATTCACAGCAGGACATGGAACCATACATAACACTGGTTAAAAAAAACAAAACATGTCCCCATCTGGTGCATCACCTGACACTGACACACCTACTGCCTATATCCCTTCACTTAAACAACAAAATAAACGAATGAAATCGCTCCAACAAAGACTCTCTGTGGTCGAGGACGGCCCTGGTGAATAGTGTAAACCACTGGTTTGTGTTTTAGGATCGGTGGAGACGCTGGCTCACAGGGTGCCACGGGGAGGCTGGTTCGAGCTGGTGTCCTGCCCGCATTACTTCGCTGAGCTGCTGATCTACGTCTCGCTGAGCCTGGTTTTCGGAGGCGTGTCCCTCACCTGGTGGCTCGTGGTCCTTTATGTGCTGTTCAACCAGGCGCTGGCAGCGCAGCTCTGTCACGACCTTTACGTCAGCAAATACGAGTCGTACCCGAAGCACAGGAAAGCATTCATACCGTTTGTGCTGTGAGCACGGAACTGTAAAATCCATGGAAAACGAGAAGTGTCAGAGACGCCTGAGGATCTGAAGGTGTTGCAGTAAAACTCACCTTACTGTCAGCATCGATTGATAAGATGCTCTGGACCACCAGCCGACAGGACAGCGATGTCTGCAGCTGACGGTGTGATCGTGAAGCGTCGCAGTGCTGCAGAAACAATCGTCCAGCTGAAGTCTCTCTGGGGAGAAGTGAGCTGCTTCTACAAACTGATGTGTACAAATGACGAACGTCACAAATCACTCGCTGACTGCAAAATCTAGTTTTTGTCATAATGAGGTACATTTATGCAATAATACTGACACATTTTCTCTATTATGACACACTAACGTATCTTGTTATAACACACAAGAAACATTTTTATGTTGATAAAATGAGGCGTTTTGAGAAATTGATGTTTTGACTGAATATTTTTCTTGCTACAGCAACATATAGAATGTTTTCTTCAGCACAACATACCGGCATATCTCGTAGAACGAGCAGGTTTTGTTAAAATAAGTGGGTTTGTCACAATAACGAGATAAATATAAGTATATTATAACATAAACATAAATCAATGTGAGAAACTGGGCTTCTTTTCTCATGTCTGCAACAACAATATCCTGTACAAATATTAGGAAGTTGTTTTTTGATATATATGATAACGAACTGCAACATGAAATCATTTTTGTTGTAATGAAATACTTCACTTCTACCCGATAAAAATAAAAACCTATCACGGGAGTGGAATCTGTTTCATGTTGAAGTACTTTCTGTATGCTTATTTATTTTAATCATTCAGTGTATGTTTGAGGAATCCACTAGATAGCGATGGAATTGATTGATTGTAAATTAACCTGCCAAAAAACTGGTTAATAATATTACTGTAATTGTAGAAGTGTGCAGAATATATGTATTTAAATATTTATTTTAAAATTCTCATTATAGATTGTTCAGACTTGTAAAGTGGTGAGGGGTTCTTTCAACCACTGAATAAAATATAGAAATGAAGTATCAGAACCAGCTTTATTGGCTAAATGTGTGAACAAGGACATAAGTAATATATAAAGATATATACGGTATTGCATATATGAAATACCAAGTGCTGAATAAACATGAAGTGATTAATATAACAGGTTAGTAAATTTGCCTTTTAAAGGTTAACATAATTTAAGTCTGTTTAAGATAAGATAAACCTTTATTCATCCACAGATGGAAAATACAAATAAATGGAGAATAAATAAATATTCTAAAATAAATAATAAGTAGTATAAACAAAAATAAAATAAGAATATGATAAGAAACAATAATAAACAAAACCTAATCAAGAACAGTTGGAGACAAAAATGTATGAAAAGTTAAAGTCACGGTTTGATTAATAGCAGCGTGATGTTAATATATAAGTAAATATAAAATATAATATGATGCAAAAATCTGAATGAGTGTATTATTTTATGACTTGTAGTGACACTCAACCTATCATGATAGCTTGATTGCCTTTCTTTTTCCCCTTGTCCGTCTTTCAAGCATTTAACTCTTTTTTTTAAACTACGTTTACATAACCGACAAGCAGACTGTCCAATCACTGAGCTGCCCTGTGCGTACGTTACCCCCCACAGTGTCACGTCAACATTGCTTACGGTCCAATCATCTCTCCGAACGCGGCAGCAAGGCTCTAACTCCACCCCCCGCCCCCCTCTGAGTTTCCTCGGCGCTCGGACTCGGTGTGTTCGTGACGTGTATCACCGAAGACTTCCTCAAATTGCAAAGCTAGGTGGCTAATATGAAGTTAGCCAGTTTTGTTGCCGATGATATTAAGTGATTCGTGGACGACAAAATAAAAGCCGGAAACCGTCCCTTTGTCGGTTATTTCGGCCGCCATGATGCGTCTCGCGCTCGGCGGAGGAGACCGACGGGCTGATATAAATGTGACGCGAGTCTTCTTCTTTCTGATCTCCGCCGTGTTGTTGTTGTCGGTTGGAGTCGCGTCCGTTCCGGATGAGAACAAACCAGCACAAGAGCAACCACCACAAGAAGTAAACGTTTTTTATTATACGTTTATTATTGATCAATTAAACTAGGAAACGGGGGGGGTTGTTATTTTCGACGCCGGTGTTTTTGCTTCGGTGCTTGCTAGCTAGCAGCTCTGAGCTAGCATGCTACATGCTAATAGAGATACCTGCAGATACTCGTGTTCCGGGGAAAGTTAAATAGTTTTAAATAAGGAAAGTTAAGATGAGCTGACGGACGCGTGGGATGTTTACATTTTTTAATTATAGTCTTAAAAGGTGGAAACCCTTAAGATGGCAGTCCTGGTTGATTTCGAATTTGGGATAAAAACAAAAGTAATTGTGTTTGAATGAGAAGTTTCATATTAACATGCACATTTTCAGAATTTATGTGCAGAGGCTAATTATTATTATTTTTAAACTGTAATACAGCAGGAATGTCACCACAGAAACTGCAAATATACAAATATAATAAATATTGCAATACAGTTGTCAGAAGGCCATAAGCTAAATTGCTATTGTGTTACGGTGTGGAGCGGTTGTGGATAGCTGGGCCGTCTTTCAATCAGAGGGTCGGCGGTTCGAAATGTGCTGGGAGCACAAAGTGCTTTCCATAGACAGCAGATTAATACTAATATTTAATATTGTGCTCAGTCATATCTTTTATATAATTTTATGCTCTCTGTAATTTTGTAAAATTTTAATATCATAAAATTTGAAGCCCAAATTGGGCTTCAAATAAGCCCAATTTGGCTTTTTGCTTTTTTTTTTAAATTGTGCTAAATAAATAAATAAAAAATATCAACAAAATAAAAACAGCAAAATGAAAGCACAAAATTAAAAGACCGTATAAAATAAATGTACATAATCATTCCAAAGCATAGAAGGTACGACAGGTGAAAGTATAACAAATTAACTTAAAATCAAGTGGTTGCACAACAGGGCTATATTTAAAAATATATAAATAAATAATATTAATTGTCAGGTGAAAAGGCAATGTCAGTATAAAATTTGTCATAAGACAGGATTTAAAAGCGGAAACAGTGTCAGCAGATCGGAGACTAACTGGAAGACTGTTCCAGAGCTGAGGTGCCAGAACAGAAAACGCTCGATCACCTTAACCTGAGACCTCAACCTAAGGAGACGATAGATTAGACCTTAACCTAAAAACCTTTTGATATCACCACATTAAAGCATGGAGATCTGGGGACAGACATGCAAACCCTCGTGTGTAACTTATCTGACTGTCACCGCGTTGCTTTTCTTTCCGACAGAAAGCCTCGAGTCCACACCCGATCGGTCCGGTGGTCTCTGAAGATGGCTCCTCCAGCAAAGCAAACATGGGCTTCATCCACGCCTTCGTGGCCTCCATCTCCGTCATCATCGTCTCCGAGCTGGGGGACAAGACGTTTTTCATCGCGGCCATCATGGCGATGCGTTACAACCGTCTCACAGTGCTGACGGGGGCCATGCTGGCTCTGGGACTCATGACTTGTCTCTCAGGTTAGTTAGGAGCGTTCATTTTGGGGTTTTCACTTTCAGCTGTAACGTGGAGCTGCTCCTCCATCTTCTGCTGGGTAATAATTCAGTTTATTTTCTCCTACCCCCCCTCACCTCCAGTGCTGTTTGGCTATGCCACCACCATCATACCAAGAATCTACACGTACTACGTGTCCACCGCTCTCTTCGCCATCTTCGGTGTGCGCATGCTGAGGGAGGGGCTGAGGATGAGTCCAGACGAAGGCCAGGAAGAGCTGGAGGAGGTGCAGGCAGAGATCAAGAAGAAGGATGAAGAGGTGAGCCGACTCTAAACCCGGGGAGATCATCTCGTACGACGACAAGTCAACACTAATAATTAAGCATGCATCATTTATACAACACCTTCAGCGTGGGTCCTGTTTCTCTTGACTCACACATGGTTCACATTACTTCGTAATGGTGTTCATGCACCATGTTCATGCATGAGCGTCAAGATTTAAATGTGAAATAGATCGAGTCCACGTTAATGCATTAACTCATTTTTACTGCTCTTATCCAAATTATTTAAAAGGTTTGAATTGTGTTGGAAGCCGTTTTTATCACCAGGTGGTTTGGTTCTACAGCGGTTTTACTGTTTCAACGAGGGCTGAAATCAACCATGATCTTCACTGTAATCGATGAGTTTGTTCTATAAAACGGTGAAAAAAGATTCAGGATTACGACTTAAAATGTCTTGTTTTCTTCACAACTCAAAGATATTTAGTTTACCGTCACAGAAGAGTAAAGAAACCAGATAGTCTTCACATTTAAGAAGCTTTTTTTAAAATATGTGAATAGAGCGTTTAACCCGGTGTGTTGTCCGTGCAGCTCCAGCGGTCTAAGCTGGTTAATGGGACTGCAGATGTGGAGGCTGGATCCGGGACCTCCATGCCTCAGGGGAAGTGGCACAGCATCATCTCACCCATCTTCATCCAGGCCCTCACCCTCACCTTCCTGGCAGAGTGGGGGGACCGCTCACAGCTCACCACCATCATCCTGGCTGCTCGGGAGGTTTGTTACATTTAATGCCTTTTACAAACCTTTGTCTTCTTCCAGCCATTTATTCACATTATAATATATTTTTTTAACGTTTTTGTCATAAGTACTTTCACACAGAATTGTGAAGTGTGTGTGTGTGTGTGTGTGTGTGTGTGTGTGTGTGTGTGTTTACTGTTTGAGTCGAACCTCAAACAGTAAATGTGTTGATACTCTGTTTATTAAATATTTAAGGGAGGAATATGGATCATTTTCTTCAGCATCAACATGACGGCACGTTCTTTTTGTTTTGAATAATTCCCAGGATCCCTTTGGAGTCGCAGTGGGAGGAACTCTCGGCCACTGCATGTGTACCGGACTGGCTGTGGTCGGAGGACGAATGATCGCCCAGAAAATATCCGTCAGAACTGGTGAGACCGTTATATTATTATTATTATGTTTAATTATTATTACAGTAAATCCTTCAAACGTACCATTCTCTCACTGTTTGTTGTTACTTTACAACACAGTGGATTTCATTCTTTCTTCATTCATAAATATTGAATTATAAAATAATATTATTATTAATATAATAAAAGTCCAAAAGAGTTTCTGTTCTCGTGATTCTGTGATACTTCTAAGTCTTAAACATTTGTGAGGTTCTTCAATTCTGATTATCTCCATTTTACTTAACTTCTTGAAAAATTGCAATCTGTGCATCTCTACTTTATAAAACTCTTTGTTTAATCTCCCTTTGATCTCTAGAGAAGAACACATACGAGTAGTTTTGTGTTGCGATCCATCCCATAATAAATTAAATGTTCTTGTTTCCACAGTTACAATCATCGGAGGGATCGTCTTCCTGGCCTTCGCCTTCTCCGCCCTCTTCATCAAGCCGGACGCTGGATTTTAATTGGACGACAGATTTCAGGTGTTGTCTGTACATACGTGTGACGTTTGGTTAAGTTGTGTAGAGAGCGTTGTTTAGACTGCCCCCCCCCCCTTCTCTGGTGGAGGTTGAACACTGTTTTTGTAATCATTATGAATAATGCTGTAATGAGTGATGCTCAGCAGTGAACCGGTGAGCGGTGATGTAGGTGAGCGAGCAGACCACACGGCTCTCTGTGGTCGTCAGTGAGTCTGAGGGACACAAGAGTTCTGTCCTCGCACTCAGAGACACTTTGAGTCCATTCAAGCAGCTTTTGTCTTTTTTTGTTTTTAAATATTGAATGCTCATTTGTTTATTCCATCTTTCACTCTGGGGGACCTTTTTTTTTTTTTTTTTAACCACGATGCATTAACATCCCAAAATAAGGTTCTACTTCACTAAACATCTTGATTTTCACATTGTGAGGAAAAACACTGAGAACAGAACCAACAGACAGTCGTGATGTTCTGTAGTGTGTGTATGAGGTTCTCCTCCACAGGCAGGGTTCTACTACAGTAGATGAGTTCATAGAAACTTTAAAGCTTTAAAGAGAGCAGAGATGGATAGAAGTGTTTCAGTTCCCTGTACTAAAGAGGTGGAAACGTTCTAAACGCAGCGTTCACTTAGACTGAAAGAGATTCTTTTTATTTTGGTTTCTCAAACACGTCGTGCTGCCTCTCACCGCCACACTGACTCATAGAACACACTTTAAATAAAACCCAAACTCTCTCTTTAGGAAGCGATTAATCCTTTGTTTCACATCAGAGCACTAGATTACCCGAGTCCAGGTGTCACCATCCTTAAAGAGACGGCTACCAGAGAGATACGCCACGTTTCATAATTCCACTTCCACAGATCCTCCCTCACACGGTGATTAAAGCCATTGTTACAAACCGTTAGTCACTAAATCAATCAGGTACAGAACAGATGAAACCAACTGATAATAACTGCCAGTAGAAGTCACTCCAGAAGCGGCTGTGTGGTAGCAACGGCGACACCTGAACACAGCTACTGCGTTTCACCTTTTTATTTACTATTTATTTAGCTTCATTTCCTTTTCTCTTAAGCTGATGTACTGTAGAGATGGGGGGGGGAGGAGAGAGAGAGAGAGAGAAACAAGGAATGGAAATATATTTTTTAAAAGGTGAACAGACTGAAGCTGCATTGTCAATATTTGACAGGCTGTGAAATGCTTTGTTTGTGATACTGCTCGGTTGAAATGCCTGTAAATCTAAAAAAAGCTCAATAAAAATGTTTCATGTGATTCTGTGCGTCGCTGAAGGGATCAAATAAACAGTAACAGCAGAATGTTTTATTACAGGTTTATTTTCAAACTGAAGGGGAGTAAATGATCATTCATGGAGCGGGTTTGGCTCAAGAAATTGCTGAAGTGCTTTTAGTTTATAATTTAAATGCAGCGCAGCGAGGGATTGAGAATATGAAGGTGTGGGACCTAAAGCCGACCAGCAGATGGCAGCAGAGGATGTGAAGCGTCCGTCTTTGTGCCTCAGCGTCACAATAGAAACATTTTTAACATGTTGGGGATAAATCCACAGCAAAGGATTGTGGGTCAGAAGAGCATGCTGGCTGAGTGCTGGAGGACTTTCTGGTGTAATAATTTAATATACTTTTAGGTCTCGCTTGTAAAAGTTTGAATCTCAAAGTGACTTCCTAGTTAAATAAAGGATATATGAATCTATATCGTATACAGACGTGTATACACACTTACATATATGTGTATGTATGTATATATATATATATATATATATATACATATATGTGTATGTACATATATACATACACAGCTAACTAGCCAGCCATCTGTGTGTGCGACAGTCTGTGTGAAGCATTAAGTTGTTCAATTTTACTCATTTTCTCTACACTTCGTAACGTTATTACTCCATTGATGCTTTTAGTCGTTACCGCAAAACCTCACGTCAGTGACTCCACAGCTTAGCGTAAGTCGGTTTATTTATTTTTTTTTATGCTACGCTGCGTTTGAACTCGGAAAAAGACATTTCTGATTTACATGTCAGAATTTAAAGTGGAAAGCTGCCTGAGGTCAGATTTCTGACTGAAAGTTGGACAAAACCCCGACCTTAGAATCCAAGATGGCTGCTCCGCGTATCAACGGTAAACGAGCTATAGTAATAAGCTGTTTATTAGCCTCGTTTCTCATTGACCCAAATCATACACTCAGTACTGTCCAACTCCTATCTGACACGATGCTACGGTCAACTCGGGTGTGACGTCATTCCCTGCTACTCATTCAGATTTCTGAAGTAGATGGAATACAGCATCAACGGTCGCAACGGCAACATTACACATAAACATGGCCGCCGCTCTGACCGTCCCGCTACGTTGGTTTGGATGTCTGTTCTACTACTCGTCTATTTCTGTGGGTAGGACGTGTTAAAACTTGTTCTGGAACACTGAATAGTCGTATGAACGTTCAAAGTGTCGTCGAGTGAAGCGCAGCAGTGAATTTCACGAGCCAAACCAAAACTGAAAACTTTCTAGTGCGAACATCAGAACTACACGACATTTAACACAAGTCCTTTTTATTTCGGGGATCCGTCTCTTTGGATAGAAAAAAACATTTTCTCGGTTTATTTGAGTGACTTTAAAAAGCGTCACTTTTACAACTTCTCCCAGCGTGAAGAAAACAAACTTGACTGGTTAAGACTCAAAACAAATACAACAAAGAATTTGCATAAGCATGACCTCACATGTGAAACCAGCTTTGTTGGGTGAGAAAGAAGTTCAACAGTGTGTGTGTGTGTGTGTGCGTGTGTCACAGCTCGTTTAGATCCTTCAGGTTTGCACATTTAAAAGCAGAAGCTGAGGTTTGATGTCGTCTATTCAGGTAATAGAAAAATAACTCTTTACTGCATCTGACATTGTGCAAAGTCTCTCACTGTGTTGAAGGTGTATACATGTGTGTATATATAGTTTATACATCACACTCCAGAGGTCTGTTTGCATGGAGCACAGGTCTCCACAGGTTGGTAAGTGTTCAGCAGAGAACCTTTTATATAAATATTAAGTGTTGCAGCGCCACAACGGATTAAAAGGACTTCACTGCGACTTGATGGCGTCTTTAAAGCAGCAGTTTGACAGCAGGTATGAAGGTGACTAGTGAGGGTTATGGATCATTTCTTTGTTGCTGAAGGAAGAGCATTTCATTTCTTTACTTTATTTTTGCTTTGGCAAGGGACGATGGTATAAGAGGGATAAAGTGTTTTGAGTCGTCCATTATTAGGAATTATTGGGTCAACGAGTCATGAAGAAGTCACAGTACGTTACCGATAATGGACACCGGTTGGACATTATCCCTTTTTATTATTCTTTATTTAATCTTAGTCCTGTGTCAAATGTCCTTGTTTTTTTTTTCAATCATATTCAGTCGACTAAACTGTTTTTTAAACCTTACTATTTAAATAAGGTTTTAATCAGTGAAAATTCTTTTAGTCATCAGATTATATTGAACATTTCAGACGAGCAAAAATATCTATATTTGAAATGAAGTGACCGTTCTTCAACACGATGCAACACTGACTTTATATCACATGTGACCGACTATAATGAAGTCTGGACTACACAACCATAAAATAACCAGTTAAACATGAAATAACATGACAACCACTCTAAAAAAAGAAAAGACCTTTTACATAAATACGACGGAAGCCAAATGAACTCTGAAATGAGGGATTAGAACATTATCTCCAAATAAAGTGACAATTCCACTTATTGAACATGTGAAACGGATGCTGAAGCATCATAATGCCAAAGTAATTAAGGTTAAAAGATCTTTTCCACATGTTCAAACCACAGACTGTAGATAAGTAGACGTCGTCATCGTGACGTCACTCATTGGTTTGTGGACTGATGTTATGAAGCCTCGAGTTTGGCGATTTCGCCGTCACCATCTTGTTTTTTTGGCAACCGATGAACAGAAGTGACCATATCTGGACTGAGGAGTGACGTAGAGACCTCGTATACGTCTCTGGTAGAGACCTGTCAATCACCGTGTGGTTTGACTGAAGTTTAAAATGAGTGTGCAGATTTTAAGCACATTTTTAAAAGTTTTTTAAAATTCAGTGACAATATGGACCAAAGGATCAAACAAACTGTGACACAACCAGCAGCGTCATCTGCTTCAGACACAAATATATCAGCCACTCAGCATTTTAACAGCTTTTCTTTTCAAAGCTTCAAATAACAGACTCCGCACTTCTTTTCATGCATCATATAAAATATTAGTTCTTTCTTTTTCGGTATATTTACATAATATATTACACGTGATGTTCTGTACAGTAAAAGTTCAATCTACACCACATTTGTAAAAAATATTTTCTGACCCATCATTGTTTTTGGTTTTTTTTACATGAAAAAAACAAAACAAACAATAAGAGAAAACATCCAAAACACACGAGCCTCTGGGCGTTTGCTTCTGCAGGACGTCCTTGAAGCTTTGATGGAAGCTTCGGCGGAAGCTTCGGCTGCATTAAAGTCCCGGAGAGCTCGGCGCAAAACAATCCTGTGAGGGTGACCGGAGGAGCGAGCGAGCGAGCGAGCACGCACGCACGCACGCACGCACGCACGCACGCACACGCGCACACACACACACACACCGGGGGAGGGTGTGAGGGACTCCATTATAGGGTTTGTGGCTCCCTGTTTTCTGCCTCCTGCCAGAGAGACACGGTGCTGTGTTCTCTGCAGCAGGAGTTAAGTGCAAACAGCCAAAGATCCTTCTGAAGCCACAGCCCAACACAACACGTCTCAGAGCTGCACGTTGACTCCTCCCCCACCTCTCAAAGACACCCCCACGTCTGGGTTTGACTCTCACACAGCCGGCTACTGTGGCTGCTTGGCCGAGCGGTCAGACAGACTGTGCCTCCTGTGAGGGGCCAGCTGCTGCTGCTGCTGCTGCTGCTTCTGTTGTTGCAACTGTTGCAGCTGTTGCAGCTGTTGCTGGGAGGCGGCAGCGAAGGCGCCCTGCTGCTGCAGAGGGAACGCCGCCTGCAGGATCAGCTGGGTGGACTGGTTTCCGTGAAGAAGCCGGGGAGCCTTGAGTGGAGAGAAAGTTTGATTAGCGGGACGATGAGAAGACGGAAGTCAACCTGTTGAGCCGAGTCAAGATTTAAAGTTACTGTGAGCGACTTTTATCTGCTTCTGAAACACATTAAAACACCATTCAAATGATTAGGAAATCTAACATAGTATGTTTTAATATAACATCTTGTCATTCGTAGTTTTAGTGATGTATATGAATCTGTTTAGAGCTCGTGTTAGGAAGTTAAATAACTCATAATTGATCTCTAATATCTATGTTGTTGATGTGAAAACATCCCCCCCTAGTGGTTTACCTGTAGGAACTGTGTTTGCTGCTGAGCCAGGTGAGCCTGCCCTTGCTGCATGGCTGTGACCGGTGACTGCTGCTTACCTGCTGCTGCTCCTGCTGCTGCTGTGGTGGCTGCTGGGAAATGCTGATGGTCTGGGTCTGGCCCTGCTGAGGAGCGAAGGCCGTCACCACTTGGCCCATAAACATGGTGGTGGGGACCATGACGGCACCGCAGGCCATCTGTCCCGTCACCAGCTTGGTGAGCAGCTGAGGACTGGCGGGAAACCTGGGATAGATAGTCGCCCAAATAGATAATACAAAGCAAAGATGGATGCTAGACTACCGTACAACGGTGGTCATAGAAACATAGGCCCCATTTCAGCCAGAAAAGGGCGCTTTGTGGACAGAGGCCCTTAAAGTGGTGGGCAGCATGGCATAACATGATGACAAACCTGATCTGAGCCGAACGGTCCTGTGCGAACGTGGCCACAGCAGGAGCGCTGGGTCCGGTATTCTGAGCCAGGCTGGTGGCGATCTGGACCACGTTGGCCGGGCTCTGCTGAGGGATCATCATGGCGTTGTAGAGAGAGGCGGGCAGTGGATTCTGTTGAGGCTGCAGAGTGAGAGACGACCGCTGAGACTGAAAACAAACAGGACCGGAGTTAGAGACTGAGATGTGTTTAATGATCAGCACTGAAGGGGGGGGGGGGGGGGGTTGTCAGACCTGTGAGAGTGCTGTGCTCTGATCCCGTAGGAGTGTTTGCTGCTGGGGCTGGATGGCATGTTGTTGCTGGATGCTGTTCTGCAGAGGTCCTGCAGAGACCACCTGGCCCTGCATGCTGAGGGTTCCTCCCTGCTGCACCACGTTCCCCTGGGCCATCTGAACAGAGCCCAGACTGAGTCCTCCGGCTCCTTTCGGCAAGAACATCTGAAACATCCAGCGCAGATTCTAGTGAAACAATTACCGACCGACCAACTCAAGTCAACCAGTCAAGTAGCAGTTTGCATCCACGTCTGTCCAAAATGTCATCAATTCATTTTCTCATAGACTTCTATACAACCAGAGGAGTCACCCCCTGGTGGACACTAGAGAGAATGCAGCTTTAAGAAACTTTTGCATTGGCATCACCAGAAGTGATGGCTTTTCTGTGATGTCGTGCTTTTCCTCAGCACTCTCACCTGCAGGTTCTGTCCCTGAACTCTCTGCAGCTCGTCCTGGATCTGCCGCAGCTCGCCCTGCTGCCGCTGAATGTTGGCCTCGATCAGCCTGGTCCGCTGCTCCAGCTGCTCCTTCAGGCTGTGCATGACTTCCAGCTGGCTGGAGAACTGCACCATCGACTGTCAGGGAACAAGGACATTGGGGACACCGCCGGGGAGTTAAATGGCAGTACGAGTGATTCAATCTAAAGACAGATTCAGTGATTCAGGTGCAACTGAAGCTGTGGTCCAGGTTCATATCTGGAGCAGACAGCCTGTATTCTACAAATGCCTCAGTGTAGGAAACTAAAACATTGATTAATGCTCATGATCTTAATAGGAAGAAGAGAAAAGCCTCCTGAAATACATTTAATTATACATTTTATTTTAGATTCTTGTAATCACATTTAGACTACAAAATATACTCATCCGTCTTTATGATGCATGATGTGCAAAAAAATATTAAACCAGAAAATAAACGGTTTAAGTAAAGTTATTTTTGGGGATAAATAATATAATTTATTAGAAAATTGAAATATTCTGCAGATCCTCCAGCTCAGGATTTCTTCGGATGTCAGTGATTTTTGAGCCACGACAACTTGGACAAAATGTGTCCTGAAAACAGACGAGTTGAGTTTTGTTTTTAGCCGTTTGTCGTAATGAATGAATCCAACAATGAGGCTCCACTGACAGAATCAGTCCGTCTGTCTCCGAGGATAAGATATCAATAAAGCTTTTAGAAACGAGATGAATATCTTACTTGGCTGCTGATCTGAACTTGTTGTTGCTGCTGTTGTTGTTGTTGTTGTTGCTGCTGCTGCTGCTGCTGCTGCTGCTGTTGTTGCCGTTGTTGCTGTTGTTGCTGTTGTTGCTGTTGTTGTTGCTGTTGCTGCTGTTGCTGTGAAACCATGGATGGGGCCATGTTCTGTCCTGTATTTTGGGAGCTCATTGACTGCTGAAAGAGTTTAACACAAACCAACATTAACACCAAACAAACCAAAAAGGATGAACAACGGTTCAGAACAAATCACTTCAAATTCTTTCAATTAACTATCACTAATTAATTAAAACAATGTCTCCCTAATTAAAGCTCTTTCACGGCAGACTCCGCTCTCGTCCCTCCACCGACCTGACTGCTGACAGACGACCTCCGTTGGGACGTCATCTCCACAGCGGAGACGGACTGGCGACCCGGAGTACCCCTGCTGTCCGCCTGGAGCGTCATCTGAGACACTGAGAGGGAAACAGAAACACGTGGTGGCGTTAGACTTTCTCGTCGTCGGACAGGGTTGTAAGAAAGTCCGCCATAATCTACGATTACCTGTCATTTACATTGTGTAATTATAATATAAGGCATAGGAGAAAGGAACATTCATCGGCGGAATCTGTGATTCTAATCTAATATCTAATCTAACTCCTCAAGTGTTCATAGACGTCTCTTTTCATTTATTTCCATAATCCGGTATTATTGGTGTGAGCGGGAGAGCAAACACCTTTTCAGTGAATTGCAAAAACTAAAATACAGTTCTGTGAATGCAACTTCAGCTCATGACCCCCTAACACATGAGACCGTGCGAGTCATGTGGAGATGGCTGCTTACAGGCCGGGTCAGACACGGCGGTGTGAGAGGATTTGCGTGAGCTGCGAGACGAAGCCGAGGGCGTCCGGCTGTGGTTGAAGTGCTCCAGAGCCTCCTTCAGGCTCGACGTGTTGAGCTGCGACTCGGAGACGGAATCCTGGGACTGCTGCAAGGTCGAGGGAGAAGAGTCAGCCGGGGTCTCCGTCGCAGATTACTGATCCATCATTTTAAAACAAAACAGCTGCTGTAGAGCAGGAGTCTCACCTTGTCTGCTGTGATCTCAGGTTGTGATCCTTCGATCCCGAGCTCTCGGCGTTGTTCTGCTCTCACTTCAGCGTAACTGTGGATAAAAAGATAACCCCGTCATTCTGAGTAATAATCATTGCATTTAAAAATCTAAAAGCTGCTTTTAAAATCTTCCACGTACCTCACAACAGTGTGTGTGCAGACTATAAACTCTGGCCTGGAGTTCCACTGGTGGTAGGTGATGTAGTAGTGGGTCTGAAGCCAAATCCACTGCTGCCCTTTGGTGAGGAATCGGTAGTAGCAGGACTTTCCTTTGCCGTATTGCATTACTGCAGACACACAAGGAGAGGGAGCCGACTGACTTCTGAACGCTCAATAAAGAAAGCGGACGACTGTGGATGAACTTTGAGATGTACTCACAGTGTTCGTGGCATTTGGCCAGCGTCTCCAGGTCATCTACGTGGTAGTAGTCATACCCTGAAGTACCCAGCACCTCAAACGGGAGGTAACCTATAATGGGTGGAGCTCTGGACAGACAGAGAACATGTTATTGAGATGAGTCTTCCTCCTTCACCTTCTGTTGTTCAGCTACGAATATGGTTCTGTGAATGCTGCAGAATCAGTCAGGATTGTATCTCATAAATCATTGTATCCTCATACAATGGTCCGTATAACATGTGAAAAGTTAGTCCACATTTTTCATGTGTTTTCTTACAAAACTACGAAAACACAGTCTGGTGAGTGAAGCAAATCTATGAGCCACTTTTGCCGGGTGTCTGGTGCTAATTTTCACTAAAAATAAATAAATATATATATATATATATATATATATATATATATATATATAATAATCACAAATTGGAAGAAGATACTTTAAGAATAAATAAATAAATAAATATAAATGTTACCTGTGGTCCAAGAAGAGAAATTTCCACTCTAAACTATGTCTGGAGGTGAACTCCTCATTCGGCTCCTCTACAGTGCACATCTCCTGTGAAAAGGTAGAGGTGAAAGTGCAGAATGTATTTAGACATTATCTATATTTATCTAAAAAACACATTTACTAAATGCTAAAGTCTCCGAGCCCATGATCAGGGTTCTGTTGATCCATAATGCTGACGGGCTATCATTTGATTCTCAATCCTCTGAACCCCAAAACCCTCCGGCGGGATTGAGAAGCTTGTTTTCTTTAAACGTTCACCAAAACTACACCGTTTATCACAGCCACAAGCTGTAAAAATATGTTATTATCGTCGTATTATCATCTTTCCGACGGTCTTTGAACACATCATGTGTGACGAAGCCTTCCATGAGAAAAAAAGAAGCAAAAGCGAAGCTTAAAATTGTAATATTTCATCAAAAACAATTAATTCATTCTAAATGTCGCCACAAATAAACTTTTTGCTTTAAACAGATCCTGTAAAAAACATTAAATTCTGAGCTCCTCAGCGCAACTATGAAGCCATGATTGACTCGTTTGAGACCAACAGTCACGAGACAAATATTCTGTGAAACTTCGACTGAACTTCAGGCTGCTGATCGCAGAGCAGAGAGGAGAGGAGAGGAGAGAGGAGAGAAGAGGAGAGAGGAGAGAAGAGGAGAGGAGAGGAGAGGAGAGAGGAGAGAAGAGGAGAGAAGAGGAGAGAGGAGAGAAGAGGAGAGAGGAGAGAAGAGGAGAGGAGAGGAGAGCGGAGAGAAGAGGAGAGAGGAGAGAAGAGGAGAGGAGAGAAGAGGAGAGAGAGGAGAGGAGAGGAGAGAGGAGAGAAGAGGAGAGCGGAGAGGAGAGGAGAGAGGAGAGGAGAGAAGAGGAGAGGAGAGGAGAGCGGAGAGAAGAGGAGAGAGGAGAGAAGAGGAGAGGAGAGAAGAGGAGAGAGAGGAGAGGAGAGGAGAGAGGAGAGAAGAGGAGAGAGGAGAGAAGAGGAGAGGAGAGGAGAGCGGAGAGAAGAGGAGAGAAGAGGAGAGGAGAGAAGAGGAGAGAAGAGGAGAGGAGAGAAGAGGAGAGAGAGGAGAGGAGAGGAGAGAGGAGAGAAGAGGAGAGCGGAGAGGAGAGGAGAGGAGAGGTTCTAGGGAGAGATTATAAAAATGGAAATAGCTTAATAAATATAGCAAATGGAGCATAAATTGTGTTTTCCAACATTGGTAACACATGGAAAAATGTTGGCTATAAAGATTTCATTGTTTTCTAATTTAAAAAAAAAAAAATTATTAAAGAATTTAACTTGATTTATGGCATCGTAACTGTTATTCTGCACAAAAGACATTTTTGGGGCAAAAAACGCCCCAAAAACTGTTTGGGGTTCAGAGGGTTTACAGCAAAAAGTAAAATCAACAGCAGCTTCTTAACTCAGCCGGGAGAAAGACACATATTTATTTTAAAACAAATAAAAAGTGTCTGTGAAAAGAATCACCGCCGGAGAAGAGGGAGAAGATGATCGTTACCTTGATGAACTGTGGTTTGGCGAGCCTCACAGTCGCTACGAGACACACTCCGTCTTCAAAGGCAGAGTGAAGCGATCGCTGGATCACTCCGTCGAAACCGTTGCGGGTACATTTAGGCACTGGTGACAAACGACACAACAGAGGAGTTAAAGACTCTTAAACGGCCACGAACCTCGAGGCTCAGACGATCAGCGGAGCGAAGCTCACCGTTATTCAGGGACTTGAAGTTTCCAATGAACTTGACGTATTCGTACACGGGGGGCTCTTCGGGGTCGATGGTCCCTCGGAGCATGTGGCAACAGAACTCTAGCTGATTTTTTGCTGAAAATAAAAAGGAAATGACAGCATTAAAAAGTTAGTATTGACAGTAAAATGACACAATAGCATAATTAAAACAAATGGAAACGATGCAGATAAAACGTTCCGCTGACTTTTCAGATATTCGGGTGTCAGCGTCTCTCCCTCCACAATGTGAGAGGACAGAGCCTTGTACACGTCTGAATGCTCCCCTGTAGGCAGGAAGTTCAACAGGTTCTGATCCACGAGATCAGACTGAAACACACAGAACATCCGTTCATGAATCTCTGAGCATGTGCATGTACACCGCGTCCAACAGGGGGCACTGTTGACACGTGGGCTTTGCCATAATGTTCTAAAAAAGTTCACATCATACTCACGGGTAAGTGCTCTAGTAGGGACGTCACACTCTCAGAGGCGTAGATTATATTCCCATCAGTCATAATGGCAAGAAAAAATCCATCTAACGCCTGACAAACAAAATTCACTCTTTTAATTCACTCTGAACAAAAGTCTGTAAACAAACAGAAAGCAGAGACGACTGCAGAGCGGCACCGTGTTCTCGTTACGCTCAAAGCTTCTGTTGAGGTTTTTGAATGAAGCATTAAATGTCGTCAAACCTTTTGTACAATAAACTTATGTTTGTATCACACGAGTCTGAGAATCAAATTCTATAAATAGTAAATAGCTATAATAATATTCACTACCGACAGCTTTACCTTCGCTTCAGCCGTCTCTCCTCCGGATGTCTGGGCTTCTACCAGAAAGTAAGCAGACTTTTTAATTGTGTTTGTTGTTATTTGTTTCCTACTTTGTTGTGCTGCAGCCTACAGACAAAGTGCATAATATCTAAAGTCCAGTAATGAACGACATGGATCAGAGATTTGTTTGGGAAAAGGAGCTGCAAAGAAGTACTGCTCCATCAAAGATATAGCAGCGAAGCCGAGCGGAGAGCCGCTTCTAGGTCGCTGATGAAACATGCCATCTGGTGGAATGCGCGAGAGCAGATGATGACCGTGGGAAACATTTAGCACCGGCGCTCATAATCCCTCAGCGGCGGTTGGAACACTGATAAGTGGATCATAATCTTTATCTGCAACTGAGCCCAAATACTGGGCTCAAACTGAAGGAACAGAATAAAGAAAAAGAAGCTGCGCAGCATTCGAATGTCAGCCGTAATGCACTCGATGCTGAAAAGTGCTCTGAGCTCACCTCCAACATCAGCTGAGTGAACTCTTCATTGCTAAGAAAAGGAGGCTTCCAGTCTTGTCTGATCTCAGTCGACTCGGACTGAGTAGCGATTTCTGATGAAGATAAACAACACGTCAACAAACGGGTTCAGCCCAAGTACGAGACTCACGAACAGAGATCTCTGGGTCGCGACGAGCGCTCCTCACCCTTGTGTTTGTGCAGAAAGTCGATGCTCTTCTGCAAAATAGTGGACTTGTCCATTTTGCGGGTGTTGCCCGGTAGCATGGTGCCCAGCTCCTTGATGAGGACATTGAACTGGTCTCTTCGCTTCTTCTCGGACTTGTTACGGGACTCTCTGTGGGTGGAGATAACGGTAACATACGGTAGTTTGGTTGCAGCTACATTAGCAGTGCTGCAATCATTTTAGGGCTATGAAAACTTTACTAGGAACGTCTGATGTACCCCTACAGTTAGGTAGCTGTATCTATCTTTGCATGGGAAGCTTTATTATCAAATGAACTCTCATAAAAACTAAAGTTGTAATATCACGGAGGATGACGTGGGGGGGGGGTCGTACCGTTTGGCTTTGTCCTTTTCATCTCCTTCCATAAACCCATCAAAGATACTGCTGTCATCCCTGCAGAACAAACAGCAACAGTTAAGATCCTCTTAATATTCTATAATCTTTTATGTCGAGAGTCTCTCTGCTAATCCTGCATTTTGATTTTGACGTAAAAGCAGTAAAGAATAAAACTGAACACGTAGAACCTGAACACTGGAACCTGAACGTGACTCACGTCCAATGCTGCTGAGAGAATTACACACTTGTTTCCACCAAAAGTTAAGAGCGTCGATGCAGGTTTTTGTTTTTTTAAACACAGGAAAACCAGCTAAATGTACGACAGACTCTTTTTCTACTGCCAGTAAACGAGTAGCCGTTCTTTTTGTATCTTTTATTACTTATTCAGTTTCTCTTTCAATCTCTCAAACCAGTTTGGTGATCGTTGGAACAGTGGAGAGATTAACTAAGGCGCTTTTATTGAGTTTTATTTTGTTTCTGTTGAGTTTGAATGAAGTGTGTTTTCGATGATCAGCGAGGTAAAATGACTGCTGTCTGGTGGCTTTGAGGAGAGAATATTAACTATATGCTTTGTACGTAAATAAATTATAATAACTGTCCAAACCCCTGTTGATTTTATTTAATACATATTCACTTCAACGCGCGTCACATTTTTCTATCACTGCCAGTCGGAGTTGGAGCCGTTAGAAACTCGTGACTACGTCAGAGTCACATGAAGACAAGAGACAGATCTTTTTTTGTCCACTGGGAAAGAGACTTTAGTCAATTTGATCAAAAATCAATGTATGGCAATTGTGAGAAACAATTGGTTTGAATCATCATCTAGAACAAAGCATTTTTGGGGGGGATTATTGGTGTTTTTGACACGTTATAGACGACGTAATTAATGGAAATGAATAAGAAAACAAGCCGGTAACTCAAAGCGTTTGACTCACCGGTCAATGCTCGAGGTCATTTTGTTTCCTGTTCAGGGTCGCAGTGCTGGAGACGAGTCTTTTAATCGTGAGGTAGACATTTGTGAACGAACCTTTGATGAAAAAAGAAACACACATGAAACAACATCTCCCCAAACAGCTTCAAAACAGTAGACAAAGACGAGTCCGATGGGTAAAACAAACACAAACCTCACCTTACTGACAGTACAGCCGGTCTTGTGAGAGGATGAGGAAGCTGCTGCTGGATGAAGGCGGGGTCACGTTGAGGCGATGGAAGAGGCGGAGCTCCGCGAGTCCCGGAGGAGAGTCACCGAAAGGTTCCTCAATCAGAGGGGAGACAGTCGACGAGAGGTCTTCAGAGAGCGGAGTTTTTCGATTGCTCCGGGTGTGAGACTGGCACATGGCAGCGACATCCGAGTCTGTACGAGGTGAGAAACACACACGATGTCGTTACTGAAATACAAAAACAGCTCATCAGCTTATGAAAGGCAGCGTATGAAGTGAGGTTGGCATAATTGGGATTATGATTTTTGCCATTCTATACACTCCATTATTCTGTA